CCACGACGACGGAGCTCTTCTGCATCTGGCTCCCTCAAAGAACCACCAGCTAGCTCACCAACAAATGGTGCCAACAAGTCGAAACATTCCGCCTGCAGTAAATAACATCACATTTTTAATGAAAACCATTTTTTCTTCCTCTCATCACTATTCGTGAGTTGGGCATCTTGATAAGTCACAATAATGATTCTCACTGGAAAATATTAATGCATGACTAACCGTCTTAATAAAGCGAGAAGAAAATAAGATCTGTCGATACAGAAGTTTACCATGTTGTTAGTAAATTGAGAAAAGAAAAACTTCATGATTTCTATTTAATTAAATATAATGAAAAATTGAGTACTTACATAATTGCCATAACGTTTCATGTAGAAAGGCTTCTGTGTATATGGATAACGGAGGACAAATAAGGGCCCAGCACAGTGCTTCACCATGGTTAATTCGTTCTCTTTGCTAAACCGTCCTCCAGGTATCATTTCACCCTTACTTTGCAATATAGCAGCTGCTTCGTCATACTGTATACGGAGAAATGGCTTCCGAGAACCATTAGTCCATAAAAGTGACTGCACTTCTGCATTCTGAAAGATAAGTGAGACTGTGATATCATCAAGCATCTGAACCAAAATATCATCGCCGAGATTTAACCAAAGCAATTTCTAATCTAATTCGTGTTACGCGTAAACTTTCAGTGTTTTAATGATCAAATCTGCCACTTTTTGCAACTTTCTGAACTAACTGAAAATGAAGAACTAACTGACCCCGCTGCAAAAAACTTGCATCATTGATTTGATTTCCTTCACATCATAACTAAGCATTCCATCTATCACATAGTTGACATAACGCTCCACCAAATCGCATAACTGCTCTAAATCATCTGCAAACGCATATTCCGCCTCCAACATTCGAAATTCTGCCAAATGTTGTCGAGTCTGCGAATGGTCAGCACGTAATGCAGGCGCTATTGTGTACACCTTCGATAGGCTGCTGCAACAAATCACATATATCAATATTGGCACAAACTGAAAAAGCATTTTTTGGAATTAAAGAATTTTTGTTCGATGAAAATAACACATATGGAGCAACTGCAAAATAGAGGATGCGATAAAAATAAAAACATACAACTCAACATACCCAACAAAGGATTCCAGATGTAGTTGGCTTGAAACTGGCAAATAAACTGCTTGATCACCGAAATAATTTTGTTTATCAGCCTGAAAAACGGGGAAACATTTTAATTGTTCGGATTTGCGACAACTGTGATTTCCGGCTCCTAATGGTTATTACTGATAAAGAACGGATTTTTTGAATATCTTTGGCATTAATACATGAATCAAGGAACAAAATACTTCAACAAATGGTTAAGTATATTACTCAAAATACCGTCGAACAAAAATATGGAAGAAAAATATTGACCGCAAATATGATTCAAGAAGATTTTCGCTTTTCTACTGATGCTGTTTCCTAATAACTGATTTTCTCGCTTTTCTTATTTATTTATTTTCCCATTTGTCTAATAAAATAATTGATAAAGAGAATAAAGATACTCGTTAATACCTGAACAATAAATATATCACCAGCACCTTCGCAGTCATTATGAGTTAACAGCGGTGTATCCACATGAAAGAATAATTCCTTCTAAAAAAAGTATCTTTTCAAGTTAATGCAATTCTAAAAATAAAGAACTCAGCATTTTTATATTCCTTAACAATGTAGTACCAACAATAAGAGGATGTACAACCTGATCCAGCGTGGATCATATTTCGGATCTAAATATACTAATTTATGGAAAAAGTCAGAGAGATAAACATATTTAACTCAGCAGTCACGTATTAGAAGGAAAGACATAAGTTAGGTTCATTGAACAAAGAAGTACTTGTTCCTAACACGTTATCTCAGTAAAAAAATCACTTATTTTTTTTTACAATCAGTAAATGTTCCATAACAATATAATGGGAAGAAACCTGGAAAAAAGATCGACTCAACTGGTCTAGCCGAGAACGTAGCCGCAGCAGACACATGAATGGAATGGATTTCATTCGTAAATGATATTTTCTACGCGTAACATCCGCACAACTTTCTTCAGTAGGCAATTCGCTGAACTAAACTTTGCAGAATACGCGATCAACATCATGGAAATCACGTGTGGAACTGAACAAGTTTTAGTGAATGGAAGTTTGAAACTATGGGTCAGCGGAAAAGTTATTTGCAGTGAAACTTTTTTTTAATAATTCAACAATCAGTAAACTATCAGTAAAACAATGAGAAGTCTCCGTCAATGATGATGTGATGACAGGACCAGCTAGAAGATGATTGAGAAGCTAACTAGTTTCGGTATGAAGAAGTACGAAAAAAAACTTACGCTTTTTTGCTGAAGTCCAACAACTTCACAATTTGTAGCAAACAATTCCATGCCTTGTTGCTTACCATTACTCATTACCCAATCACCAACGATATCCACAGCACTACCAACCGGTACTTTAGGACAAATATCACGCTGTACCACAGCTTGTATCGTTTTTAACGAACATCCATCACTGACATGCAAAAACAAGAATTTCCCACGTGTTTCTACTCGACGTGCCCATCCCTAAAAACCGACGGCTTCTTCAAAAGAGGAAAAAATGAAGAATCAAAGATACAAAAATCTTTAATTTATAATGAAATGAAAGTGATAAATGAGAGCATTTAACAGATAATTCAGAAAACATCGGCCTTTTCGAAACCAATTACATCTCCTTTAAAAAAACAAGCCTTTATATATATATATATTTATAATTAAGTCTAAAAATAAAAGTTAAGCGAAACGAATTTGCCGGCTTAATGTAATATAAAAAATACTCTTCTGCGCTAAAGTAAACGGCAATATGACTTGATTCATCCTTCACAACGATAAACATAAAACTACAAACTTGTATTCGTATATCCTTTAATTTTTGATTTATTTGCAGTAATGACGAAACAGGATGTGATTGAAGCAACTTGATAGCAGCTTTTATGGACATTCTTTCCACTTGCTAAATTAAGTTAGCTATTTTATCTGTCATATATCACCTTTGTATCTACTATTCTGCAATAACTTATAATTAGAATTAATATTTTAAAAATTTAGTAAAAAAAATCCTCTTCAACCATACTGTTTGAGAGATAATTTGGAAGCAGAATATCAATAAGAATTTTTGAAGCTAATGAAAGATGTATTGATCAGTGAAACTGATAAAAAACAAAAGTAAAAAGAAATTAAGATAAATAAACACTTCATTTATGCACGACATATAGCATTATTTTTCGATTCTAAGCACATCCTCTACAGATCTTTATGTATAATATCTAAGATTAATAACAATTATCAAGTCTCTCCCTCTCCCTCTCTCTTTCTCCTTGTCCCTTTATCATCACCTCTATTAACAAATTCTCGTCAATCTTCTCCTTCCCCTCTCTTTAAACATCAAAATTCTTATCAAATCTCATCAACCTGTGCTCCCCCTCTCCCCTGCATATCTCATCAATCTCTGCTTCCCCTCTCTCCCTCGTATATCTCATCAATCTCTGCTTCCCCTCTCTCCCTCGTATATCTCATCAATCTCTGCTTCCCCTCTCTCCCTCGTATATCTCATCAATCTCTGCTTCCCCTCGTATATTTCATCAGTCTCCGCTTTCCCTCCTCTCTCTCTTATATCTCATCCATCCCCGAAACAGAGTTGCAGTATGTTGCATTAGTACCATATGCAACAATGAGCTGTCTCAGCAGCTAACTGAGAATGGCCTCTTTCCGGTTTTGGAAAGAGTCTGGTCGATGCAGTTGAAGGTGACTGGTTTGAGAATTATTCCGATTCTGCTGACTAGTTTGAGAATTATTCCGATTCTGGTGACTAGTTTGAGAATTATTCCGATTCTGGTGACTGGTTTGAGAATTATTCCGATTCTGGTAACTAGTTTGAGAATTATTCCGATTCTGGTGACTGGTTTGATTATTATTCCGATTCTGGTGACTAGTTTGAGAACTATTCCGATTCTGGTGGCTAGTTTGAGAATTATTCCGGTTTCTGGTGGCGACTTTGAAGATCATTCTGATTGCTGGTAGCAAATTTAAGTATGATTCATGATAATGGATTTTTAGGATTATTTCACATTTTTATAAACAACCTATTTAGCAGAAAGATGACGCTTGGTTGATTGCTTATTTAAATCTAAATCAACGAACTCTGTATACTAATCAATGGAAACATTAGAGTGTGTTGGATATTCATTAATTGGTAAGTGCAAATAGATATTTCATCCATGGAGTGCCACACTGTTTTGAAATTTAAACTTTTAAAAAATTTTTAATTATTAGTAAATTACGAACATCAGTATTATGCGAGTATAATAAGAATCACAGCATGATGAGACACTGCTTCAAGAAGCTTTACTAACGATGAGCTTTAAGACAAGATACAACTCTAAACATCTATTTAACAACTATAGGGAAACAAGCCATAATGCACTATTTGAATAGCTTCTTTTTTTTATCATTTCATTTAATTTTATTTCACATTTACTATTTGAGTGGTGCAAATAAGTTCCTTTTGCATATAGCAAAATTGATTGAAACATTGGGAAGCAAAATTAATAACTATTATCTTAAAGTGGTTTAAAAATCCATTGAAGAATGCTTAGGGGAATTCGAATCTCTCCCTAAACAGATTATTCCATAATTACTTTACAATTAAATATTAACGTGTTTAATTTCAAAAAGGATGATTATGAGTCAGCATTAGCTCAGATAAGTGATGATATTAAAACAGCATTATAGTGTATAAATTACATGTATAAATTAACCTTGATAGAATGAAATTGATAGGGTTTTTCGAATTCTTTTTTTCTTTTTCTATATTTTGTCATAAAAATAATTTTTTCACGAGTGTTTCTTCATCTCATCTATTCGGCATTGTTTTTAGTAAATGTTGCTGGCTCGAATAAGGCGGACACGCATGGCAAAATATGTGTGAATATTGAATTTAGAACAAGAAATCAGCGTGGAGAAAAAAAACTAAGAAATACTCGGATTTCTGTTTCTGAATTTGTCGGTTTTTTACAGGAGTTGCGTAAAATGCAAGGTGAAAGTATGCAATGATCAATTTAAATAATCATCTTATTTCCACTCACGTTTTAGCTTTTATGCAAAATTAATTTCTAACTGCACTGAACGTTACAGCATAACATGTTTGTATATTTTTCTACATTAGTAATTTAAATATGTGTATTTTCGAATATTCAAGATTGCTAGCAACTCGATCAGTCGATCAGTGTTTTTTCCCTCCTACTAACATTTAATTTATAATTTAGTGCTCATATTTGTAATCACCGTATTTGGCGTTGCACGCTTGAATGCTTGAAAAGGCTTTAGAGGTTCAAAAAAGTTAACAGTTAGAATCTTTTTTTTCTTTGTATTTTGAGGAATATATTTTGAATGATATATCTTCTGACATGTGAGAAAAAAAAGTTGATACACTTAATTTTATTTTTTGGAGAGAAGATAGTTCAGCATGTTTTTGAAATCAAACAGTTTTATGCGATATGTTTAAAGATGATATAATATAGTGTTTTTATTATGAAGAGCATGAGACACATGGAATATTTTATATCAACAGATCAAAACGTCATTACTGCCATATTATGCCATGTAAGACTGTAATAATAATTTAAGAATATTAATGATAATAAATAGTAAATAATAATAATAACAGTAATGAATGATTTGCAAAGACATCATGTAAGAAAAAACAAATAAAATGGAAAATTAGCAAAAAACAAAACAAAAAAAAACACTAGATGATGATCTAACTGCTATTTAAAGAAGAAAATTAAGAAATATCGACTTCATTTGGCATTATTGAAAGTATTGCGTTTTAAATTGTAATACTAGTAGTATGAATAATAACAGTGATAATAAGATTAGTAATAGTGATATTAATAGCAGTGTATATTAGTTGCGATTGTTGTTGTTGCTGTTGTCAAAATCCGAGAAAACGGAAGAACAACAATTATCGACCATCAAAGAAGCAAGATTTTCTTATTTTATTCAAGATTTTTTCTGAAAAAATGAAATATTAATTTATAAGGTTCCTGCAATAGCTACAATTTTTACTAAAAAATAAAGTTTAGTTCAAACGAAAAATAAAGTGTGACAAGTTGCGATGGAGTTAGGGAAGAAGATTCCATTTGTAATGCATATTTTCTCTTTTTTTATTATTTTATTTTTAACTTATACTCTTCAAGCTATTGCTACTATCAAGATAGAAGATTTAAGTTAGCGAAGAAGTTGGCCAGGCAATGACTTCGACGAATAGTAATTTTACTATACTAAATAGTAAAAAAGATCAAAATAGTAAAAAAGAAGGATTAAATTTCTACTTGCATAACTTCTACTTTTAACTTTTACTTATGGAGTGAACAGGAATCTACTTTACCTTAACAACACCTTCCTTTTTACCGGTTTGTGATGTTTTCCTGGCATTAGGAGTGGATTTAGCGCTGGATTCACTTGGTTTCTTTGATAATGTCTTCTGGGTACCAGTTGCTGCTCCAGTTTTCGATTTCATGGATGCTTGTGGAACAGATTTACTTGTTGATGATACTTGACTACTTTGTCGGCCAGGCAATGACTAAAAATATAATTTTACTATAATAAATAAACCAAAAAAGGGATTGAATTTCTATTGCATAACTTCTACTTTCAAATTTTACTTGTAAATTTGGACTTTAAATTGACCAACTTTTATTCATATCTTTTAATTTGAAAATAACAGTAGCTACATTAAGGATAACTTTTTTTCCATATGCATAAATTCCCTTAAGTAATAGTAATACGATAGAATAAAGTGTGAAATTAATCAAATATTCCCTATCTTTGATCATAAATGATAGATGTACGATGGGATTTCATATGTATATAACTAACCTTTTTAGCATTTTCTTGAAAAACAACACCTTTTGGTTTTGGCTGTTGTTCTAAAATTGGAACTGTAATTGGAGGCACTACTTGAGAGGCTTGCTGTTGTTGTTGTTGTTGATGATGATGTGGCATTTGTGTTGGCAATAATAAATTTGGTGATGAAGTATGAAGGAAATTTGATGGTACCAAGCCACGAACACCATTTAATTCACCCATAAAAAAACCGTCTTCATCCATTTCCCCATATACAGTGATAACATCACCAGCATGAAATGATAATTCAACCTAAACAAAAGATTTTTTTTTGATCGCGTATCTATGAATATTCGATAGTTTCTGCATTTGTTATTTATTATTATCTATTAATTATTATTATTATCTTTATTTTTATTATTATTAATAATTATTGGTTTTCAATTAATTGCGCAATTGTTTTTTGCCTATAGAAATAATTTGATATGATTGTTAGAACATAATAATTAATATTATTTGTTACGGATGTGACTAACCTGTTCCGCATCAACATTTGGACTTAATTCACGTGAGTCATAATCAAATTTAGCTACAAATTTCCGGACTACCATGCCACCATTTATTCTACCATGCCTGAAAAAAAAACCTGTCCTTGTTTATAATTCTATTATGAAACTGGAGGAAAAAAAAATTCCAGAAATTAACATGAAAAGTTTATTCATTTGAATGAAATGATTAACTAACCTTTTTATTTAAGTTAATTTTAATGTATCTTTTTAAATTATTGACGAAAGTTCATAAATTTCAATGATGTGTTACGTGTAAACATGCTAAATAATTTTAACTTAAGAAAATGACACATTGACTATTAAACTATATTAACAGCTACATGAGAGAGCCTAGGATAGTTTCATGAAATGAGCTGTACACTTAGGCATTCTCTTTTTTCTTCCTTCTAACGAAACGGTATTGAATTTACCGCGAATCCTCAGCAGTTGCAATAGTCTCAGATGGGTAATGCGACTGAGCAGTACCAGTTGAAACTCCATATTCCCGCATTGATCCATGACCTTTTTCAAGTCTGCCATAGTCACACCTTCTGTCGTAATTCCTTGCATCCCTAACGCCTTGATCTACTTCTCGATCTTTTCTCATTTCACGGTACTCTGCTACTTCACGTTGATCCCTGTACTCACGTAAATCCCTAAAATTGGCTAGCTGGAATGACTAGTGCTTTAGCAGATTTATGCTGAATCTAATGATTATCGTATTTACGAATATTATATTCATACTATTGTGTGATTTCATTAAATCCCTTAATTTAGATGGAAGAACATTTGGCTACTATATCTTTTTAATCTTTTTTTGCATATATATACATATACACTTTTTCCTCCCAAATTACCTATAATCACGCATTCTTTGATCATCATGTTCCTCCAAATAATCCCGTTCTCGTCTCGTCATACTTGCTTCACGCGGATATTTTGAATCTCGATAATCACGGCAATCTCGCATGTCTCGACCTTCACGTACATCGCGATAAGTACGCATGTCTCGTTCCCGAGGATCTCGAGGTCCTTCAGATTCATAAAAATCAGCTCTTTCACGTTCCGACAAATCTCTTTCATCCATATAATATTCTCTACGATCTCGATCAGCTGTTATTTCACGAGTTCTGCAATTATATTACAATAATTCCAAGTCTGAGATCTGAGTAAACTTAAATTTAGCTGATTGCTTCCTAAAAATGAAATTTACAAACCTATGATCACGTGCATAACCGTAATAGTCACGTGTATGTCTTCCGTTCGGTGGATACATATCATATTCATCACCAACAGCACCACTTCCTCCTCTACCACCATATTCACTTCTTGCAGAAAGCAACCGATAATCACCAACAGGTATACGCCTGAATGATGTTCCGAAATAGTCACCTGATCTATTGGGTAACGAATGATCACGTCGATCAATAGATGGATATTGCTCACCATCCACTGTTATTATCCTAAAACCTCTCAATAATTAGTGTGTTATAATTAATTTCAATTTGACCATATATATAAATTATAGGCTATGCTTTCCATAGTTAGTTAAATAACTTTCTATTACCTGCTTCGTGGTGGTCGACGATCACCAGCGTGATCATAACTTCTTGACTTTAATGAACCCCAGCGCATTCGTCGTAAAGATGGTTCCAGAGTTGTAGCAGCATCTGAACGACGTCTTTGTGGTGGCATTAAATCATCTTTAGCAATTTCAATTACCATATTTGAAGGAACAAGTCCGATACGATGACCAATCTGTCCAGTGTAAAAACCATCTTGATCAACATCACCAAAAACCTAAAAGTAAACTCATCACATGATTAATTAATTAATCCGAGAAAAGAAAAAAACGATTAAGAATAATGAGCGAAACAAAAAGAGATGAAAGGGAGGGAGAGAGAGAGAGAGAAAGAAAGACAAAGATAAAAATAACCTTAATTAGCTGATGCTTTCGAAATGAAAGTTCTTCCTGCTGTGCGTTTGCATTTGGACTCATATGATGAGAATAATCAAATAAAGCCACAAACCATCTATTATCAAAATTTTAATTTTAGATGAATTTTAAGGAATTTTAATATTATCATAACACTTCTAATTACTTTTTTGGCAGCAAAAAAGTAATTAGAAATGAATAAAATAACATATTAATAATGTTAATTCGTCAAATTCCGAAATTTCTCATTTAAACCATCTATGCTTACATTTCCTTTTCTGATCAAATTCATTTATCAATAATACATCATACAAAATCTTGATCTTGATTTTCTTCATGACTTAATTTTCTTACGATTTTTTTTTTTTTCGTGTTTTTAAAAGTAAAATAATGATGACCTGCAGGAGAAGTCATCAAGTGCCATAGGTCGAAGATCCGGTTCACTCCTTGTACTACACAATTCTTCCGTGCGCACTCGCGCAACCGGAACTGGTAAGAAATTTCCCGTCCGAGTGGGAAAATTAATTAACGAACGTCCGGAACGGTCATCTGCACGATTTCGCAAATAATGTTCAAATCTGAAACAAAAAAAGAAAAAATAAAAAGTAAAACAAAAAAAAAACAATTTTTATAAGATTTTCATTGCGTCATATCTCAATTAAACAAAATTAGAATAAAAGATTATAAAGTAAATCCGTTTAATGGCATTTCTGATAATTTAATTAATTCATTTCAAAGATAAATTGACAAGATTAAAAAGGTTCAATTGATTTAAAGAGATGCACAATATGAAATAAATGTAAATACGATGGGCTTCTTATGAATAGGAATTAAAATATATTTACTGAGTTTTAGGCATGTCTTCTGCTATATTTCGAAGACAACAAGCCTGAATAAGACATAATAAATGCATCTCAGACAGCAATAAAAAAAAATTACATATGCTTTAAACTTGGCTTTACTTCTATCATCCTGTCTTTTTTTTTCTTCCCCTTCGTTTTTTTGCAAGAACTTTTTTAAAACTTTTCTCTCTCTCTATTTTTTTTTTTTTTTTGATTGTTTCAAATATCAATAATTTCTTTTCTATTTTTTCTCTTCCACCACTTTTTCTCTATCTCTTTCTTTCCAACTCTTTTAATTCTATTTCATTTCATTTTATGTATTTATTGTATATCTCTAGAGTGAGATATTTTTAATACATTCTAAGCAACTAAGTTTTCTCATATAAGAAAGAGGAAAATTTCACTTAAGGCACCTCAGCTAAAGTCCTCTTTATAAGGCCTTCCTCTATGCATATGTTACGTAGGCTTTACACATCCTTAAGGAATTTTATATCTTCTAACAAACACTTCATCTAGGCTTTTGCAGTAATCTTTCCTTCTTTAACAACTATAACAACAGTAGTAGGAGTAACAGTAAGTAATAGGCAGTAATAGGAGGTGTGATAAAAACAGTAAATAATAATAAATAATAATGGTAATGATAATAATAATTATTACTGATCAATAATAATATTAACAATAATAATAACCAACAATAATAATTAATAATAATGATAATAGTAGTAATAACGATAATAAATATTAGTAATAATAATGATAATAATAATAAATAATTAGTAATAACAATAATAATAATAATAATAATAGTGGCAAGAAAGTTAGCTCATTGCAATTTTTGAATTAAAAAAAATACAAGTAATAAATTTACCTAGTCCTAGAATTCTGTGATGTTAATGTCCACGGTGATATACGATGTTTGAGAAGATAATTATGCTCCATCTCGAGTACACTCGGTTTTTCTTCCGTCGTTGTTAAATCACGACGTAATGCATGCGGATGAAATATGTAATACTGATTTGGTGTTTTCCATTGCTAAATTACTTCCAATGATGGACAGTTTTTGAAACATTAAAAAGAAAATTGAAAATACAAGAAGAAAAAAAATTGTAATATTATAAAAAAGTGCAAAAAATAAAAATAAAAAAATTACAAATTACGATAAAAAATAGCTGTTGCATTAATTTATTTTTGCTTTATACAATGAAATTATTAATATTCACAAATGTGATATAAATTTAATATCTTTACCGAGTTGAATTCAAATTATGAAATTATAATACATTTTTCTTTTTGTAAATGGAATCAATTTAACCGTGAAATAAAATATTTAATAAAAATTATTAAAACAAAACCATAAGTTTAAGTAATAATTAAATAAGGGGTAAAGGTAATTGTTTTGTTAAAAAGAAGAAAAGTACGAAATGTGCATAGGAATTTCAAAAAAAAAATTTTAAATAAGGAAAAGGAAAAATTATTGCAAATTTAGAAAATTTTGAATCTACAAAAAAAAAAAAAAAAACTGTTTGAATTCGAAGATGAGTAGTTTCTATTTCAATTGAATTGTACAGTATAAAAAACATACTTTAAAAAAAATTATTAGAATGTAGAAATTAGATTAAAATTTGTCAAATATGTCATTTATTGACATAAAAGCTTGTTTAAATAAATAGAAATGTACTGGTAATCTATGATCTATGTTAGCTTACTAATTCTACTTAGATAAAGCAAAGCAATATAGATGATACTAATATTGATATGAAGCCTTGATCAATGAATAATCTATGTAAACTGATTGATAAAAAGTCTATATTCATTAGAGGAATGTTGTTTATTTAAAATTTTAGCTACTTTATGTTATATATTAATGAAATTTCACAGAAAAGAAACAGAAACAAAAAAAAAAAAATCAATATTGATAAATAAATCAATTGACTGAAAAAATCAATTTCGTCATAAAATATAAGCAGAGGAAAATAATCACTAATATTTTATTTTCAAAGAAAAAAATTTCTTTTTAATAATTCAATTCAAACTCTATTACATCATTAGGAAGGAAACAAAATATAAATTACAGCTTAAAAAGAGTTAAAATTTATTTCATTTAATAATCATTTTTAAAAGAAAAAAAAAAGAAAAGAGAAGAAACAAAAAAGACATTTCAAAATATTTGTCAAGTTAAAATTAAAAAAGAAAAAATGAACCTCATGTAATAAACCAGATGTTTGATAATTTTTTAATAAACCATTATAATTTATTCCAGATGTACTACCACTACCACCAGAGTAACCCAATTTACCATTTCCTGAGAGATTGAGCAGTGAGCTATTGATAGCTGGTATACCTGTGATAGTGAAAAAGTTTAAATAAATTGATTGATTGATTGATTGATTTATTATTGATGCCACTATTTACAATTCCTAAATCTAAACTAAGCTAATTAGTTATTCATTAATAGCCGTCATTATCATCTCCATCATTACTGTCACTATCACTACTGTTATCATTATCACCATCATCACTACTACTAGCAGCACTACTTTGTACCAATTGATGATGTTTACTGATATGCATTTGATCGAGACCTGAATACCTTATCAATATTTTGTTACCTGAAAATTGATTACTAGCATTTGTATGATAGGATAAAAAAGATAGCAAACGGAAGAGATATTTGGCTACTATTATTAACTAATAAAATAATAAGCTGAGTTTTCATAAAGTTAAGGTCAGACTATTCGCGATTACGAAGTTAGTAAGGTGAGAATATTTGGAATTAGAAGATTATTAAGGCCAGATTAATCATTATTATAAAATTAGTAAGGTGAGATTATATGCTATTACAAAGGTTAATTAGACTATTTATGATTATGGAGTTAGCAATGCCAAACCATCTGCGATTACAAAATTAGTGTGGAAATGAAGAGCCTAAAAGAGTCTAATTGTCTCTTGAACAATCAATTCGTCAAATATGTCCTAATAGCTGTTTGTAAAGTTTGCAAAAAAGAAAAGGAAAGGACATTGCTATAATGTTGTCATCAGAGATATGAAGAAACTTTCTATAAAATGACTGATAAGACTAGTGCTATTCTTATTGCTTTTGTTATTACTTAAACGAAGAAGACATTAATTAAATAATTATGAAATATCCGAAAATATTAAATTTAATAAAGAAAAAGACAAAGATAGACAGACCAGGTGTGATATGATGATTTCCATATGTTGGACGTGATATCATCATCGAATTATTCATTAAATTATTGATAGTAGCAAGATTTCCCTGAGAAGTTTGTAAAAGATCAGTCATTGCTGTTGTTGTTATTGGTGGTGGTGGTGCTGTTATTGTTGTTGTTATTGCTATTGTTGGTGCTATTGTTGTTGCTGTTGCTGTTGCTGCTGCTGCTGTTGCTGTTGTTGTTATTGTTGTTGGTATTGTTGTTGCAATTGATGTTTGTCCAACAGAAATACTGATTGGAGCAAGTGATGATATCTTAAAATACAAATATTTTCTTTTCCTTGTTCTTTATTTTTGCTCAGCTTTAATTTATTACTAAATGTTTTTAACATTTAAAGAAAGAAAAGAAAAAAGTAAAAGCGAGGGAAGGAAAGAAAGAGAGAAAGAGAGAAGGAAAAAGGAAAGAAAGATATTATTTGTTAATATTGCTTAGCTTGTTGCATAATATTAGCAAGAAATTTTCTTCATGATGATGACATCAATCTGTAATTTCAAACTAAAATGACACATTGTCGAGAATGAGATGACAGTTAGAATCTAGATAATGATGATGATGATAATGATGACAGATGTGGCGGTGATAGCGGCAGTGTGTATTTTGATGATATAAAAAGACTTTTGCGCTTAAAAACTTATGGCAAAATATTATTGATTTTAATAAATAATTTAAGCTGAACTTTTTCATTTCTCTTATCCATATTTTTCTATATATTTCATTAGAAATGCAGAAGGACAGATAGGTGAAGGAGAGGGAGAGGGAGAGGTAAAGAAACAAAGAAGAGAGAGAGAGAAGAAAATTAATGATCAATCAAGTCAATGATTATAATTTTCTAAAGCATTATTTCTTCGTTTATGAAGATTGACTTCTTTTTTCTTTGCATTTAATTTCAAATTTAAGAATAAAAAAGTAAATTTGAATTGTAAATGTATAAAGTTTAAGATTTAAATTAATGAATGTAAAAATATGTAAGATTATTATTATGTTACATATAATTCTGCATAGTATCATACTTTTAATATGAATAAATTGAAGCCTGAATTAATGATTCAATAAAAATATGTCTGAAATATGGTACATACCAATGAAGGTCGTACACCGGTAGATGGTATTCTCTGCACCAAATTCGACTGTACACCAAATGTTGTAGTACGATTTGTAAGTTCGCTAGTATTTGTAATGTCACGTGGGACACGGCAAACGTTTGAATCTGATGATACGGAACCTTCTTTTGTCCTTGTTCGAACAGTAATGAAAATTGGTGGATCGTCCGCAAAATCGGACAATCGGAGAAGTACGTGATCTGCTAAATAACTCTTTTGGAAAAAACAGTTTGACTTAATTACAAATAAAAGAAATGATAATTTGAGAAGTTTTAATAACTTTATATTAATTTTATTTTAAAGTTCCCATTTATATTGCTATAATATGTTAGAATTGATTTATATATTTAAAAAAATATTAAAATTGATTTTTAATGTTAGTCGTATAAATGTTGGCAAAAATTTTTTATTCAGAAAAAAACTGACGATAGATAAAATATGTGAAATGAAAGTACAAAATATAAAGCAAATTTATCATTTATTTTAAAAATCGGTTTCTTCTTCTTTTCAAATGTTTGTAATCTCAAAATATCACGAATTAACCTGCGAAAATTACATAACTTCCGATTATGTGTCTTTATGATTCATTTATTTATACTAATAATTTCAAAATATAATATTTAGAAGTAAAGTTTTTGTAGCCTTTGATTTTTTATACATCTAATTTTTTCTTTGATGTATTTTTATAATATTTAGTCATTTTATAATAAATGTATACTTTTTATAAAACGTTATGTGTAAAGTTTTTATAATACCAAATTGTTAATACAAAATAGAAATAGTTTTTTTATTTCGAAAACTCTTTTCTTTTTTTCTAATTTGTTTATAATATTTAATGAGTGATTTATGTTCGCACCTGTATATATTTATCAGAAAAAAAGAATATGCAATAAATTAAAGATGTGTTATAATTTGTTAAGATCAAATTTAAAAACATATATTTTAGAAATTTGAACAAATTGCTTCATTTTTTTTAAATTTAGTATATCAAAAATATTACATAACATGGATAATTTTATCAATTATTAATGAAATATATGATTGTGTCCTGATTATATCATTCCGGACATTCCGGATATGTCCAATTAATCAATCATTATTTACGAATAAGTATTCAGTCTCTCTATTTTGCGATAAGCAATATAATCTGAAAGAAAAGTGATTCAAAGTTGTGTAGGCAAAGTAGTGCAATATTTGTTATATAATAATAGGAATAATTAATGAATTATTTGTAAGTAAAATGTATTTTGAATGAAAACATGTAAGAATAAGAGAGAAAAAGATAAAGAGGAAGAGAAAGAGAGTAGAGGGAAAAAATGTAAAATGAAGAGACTTTTTTCTTTATGCTTAAAAGTATTCTAATTGCGATTATCTGTTATTTTTATTCAGAGAAAAACTAATCTCTTTCCAAATTTTATATTCAATTTCATCCATTAATCAGTGATTGCTCAGTCCATCTAATAATGCAATTAAAAAAAAAAAAAAAAAAAAACGAATTCATTTTAATTGTTCTTATGAAATATTCAGTAATTTGAATTAATTTTTGAACGCATTAAAATATTTGCAAATTTTCTGAACTAATATTTCATAATGTCGACGGAGAGCTAAAGTCTTATTTTTTTTTGAAAAATACTAATTTATGTGATGATTTTATATCATAAATGCAATTAAATGTTTCATTTTATTCTAAATTTAACTTATAATGCTGTTAATTACATAAATTTTGTTATACGCCGAATAATTACAAAATTCAATTTAGGGTGCTATTAATTAAGTGAATTTCATTTTATGACAAATAATTATTCAAAATACTGTTAATGATCAAAATTTGCATTAATTATTACTGTAAAAATGAACAAAATACGATAACATAAAATTTTTAATATCCATTTGCAATAATCATCCAATAAATCAAATGAACATTTCATTTAATTCATTTATTAATTGGTTTAATTTAAACAAATTTAATGGACCTAAATTCAACGCAAATACATACAATGATAAAATTATTATTGTTTGTTATGAAAAATTTTCGCTTACATTTCAATTAATAAAATAATCAATTGAATTTGATATATAATTAATTTAACCATCGAAATGTCGGATATATTGAAATGTTGAAATCATAAAATAAGTTTGAAGTGAAAGAATAAAAACAAAAATGTAATTTTTTCATTTGTAAAAAAAATTTTTTTTTAAACGTACACTAATAATGATAGCAATACATTAAAAATAATAATAATAATATATATAATAAAAAAATAAAGATAAATAATGACGATAATTAATAATAGTAAACGATAACAATTTTAAAGAATGTTCATAACTTTGTAATCTTCTTATATACTCAAATGTTTCAAGCTATAAAATAATTAGTTTTAAAAAATGATAGAAATCATAGAACAAAATTAGATATATATCGCCAATTGCCACAAAATATTCCTTCCGCATTCCTCTAATTATATATATATATATTTTTTCATTTTAATACAAAAATGAATTTAATTATTAATTCAGATTCGGGGAAATATATCACAGCTTTTTCTGATGATTTTATAATAAAACACCGCATTACACTATGTTTAAAAAAAAAATTTTTTTAAATAATTGAAATATAATTTCATCAGTTTGAATATTGTAGTGACTTTGCTGTAATTAAATAAAAAAATTATTTATTAAATTAATATATTAGAAGTACTAGTAATATTAGAAGAACTAGAGTAGTGGGTAAAAGGGCAGAAAATTAGTTTTGCTGTTACTTGTTGTTAGAGTTTCATGAATTTTTGAAAAAGTAGAAGCTACTACCGGTTAATTTTTCTTGTCACAGCAAAAAAAGGTTTGAAGTGAAAGTGCTGAAAATTTTTTAAATTTCTTTTATATAGGATAGAAGAAAGGAATATTTCATGATTTAATTCTTCTGAAAAGTCTACAATGCAATGCGCAATTACTGTTTTCCGGAATTTTGTACTTTAGCTTATCTGAACAGGAGCGCTATCATCAGCTAAATTGAATCAATTAAGTAAAAAAAAAAAAAAAAAACTGAACAACCACTTATACTAAAATTTAAATCAATGAAAAGATAATTTCTGGAAATATTGCTTTTTTGATGTTTCATTTTCTGGCTATTTTGTTGATAATATTATTTGTTTATAACAGGTAATTCGAGTAATTAATTACCCTTGATTGAAAATCATTTATCATGATAAAACAAATGAATAATAAGGAAGTAACGATAAAAAGATCAGTTTAAATTTAATGCACAAGCATTGAATAATTTTGCAATGATTTCTTTGTCTTTCTTCCTCAATATGACTCTGTGAGGAATAATTTAATTATTAAGACTATAAGAAATTTCTAAATATTTACAATAAAATTGTAGTTTTTTTTTTTTTTTTTTTTTTTTTTTTTAAATTGAAATATATAAATCTCAGAAAACCGGAAAAAAATTTTTTTTTAATTCTTAATTCATAAATCTCTTACTTTCTACAAACTATTTTTAAGCATTCAAAAAAGAATTTTTATTAATTTTTTAGTAGTTAGTGAATCGTTTAAGTTTTTTCGTTAATCAATTTGCTTACTTTTGTTTATTTATATTGTCCACATTCATGTTTTTTACCTTATATCAAGTCAATAACATAGAAATATTTAAATAGAATTCAAATTTGACTAGAATAATTAAAATTTAATTAAATCTACAAAAGTATTAACAAATATTGAGTGAGAATTATTTAGTCATTTTTTTCTTAAAGTTCATTAATTATCATCCCATAGCCCATCACCGTATATAAGATCATTAATTAAAGTACTTACGCAAAATACCAAAACAACAACAACAAAGTAAACAATAATACATAAATATTTCTTAAAATGAAATTTCATTTTATTCTGCCCCATTTTATGCAAAGGAAAATAGGCACACAATTTCATAAAAAATCCATATTAGACTGTACTTTTTCTTATTCGATTCTAAAATTCATCAATCTAAATTTGACCATTTGAAATGAAAAACTTCAGTTCGATAACATCGTTTTCTTTTCCCTCCTTTTTTCTCTTCAAGATTTTAGATGAAAATTTTTTCTTTCTTTCTCTCCCTTTCCCTCTCTCTATTTCTCTCTCCCTTTTATATCCCAATGGTATAATCAATCATTTTTGCGCTTCAAGCGGAATTTGAGATAACCTTTGAAAAGTGGGGAGAAAAAAGGAAAAAAGTGAGAAAAGAAAAGAAAAAAAAGAAAGGAAAAAAACAAGCAAAAAAAAAAGGAATGGAAATTTTTTGATAATAATACTGCGCATAAATAGAGAAAGTCGGAAATATCGGAATTATATAAGGCTAATCAGTTTATTCCGGTTTATCAATCAGCAAATATCATTGTTTGAGGAAAACAAAAACAGAAAAAAACAAACAAGAATATAATGGTTTTTTCTCTATTTATTTTTACAATTATTATTATTATTACTGCCATTATTATCATTATGCTATCATTGTTATTACCATTACTATTATTATTACTATCATTATTATTATTATTATTGCTATTATTATTAGCAGGATTAATGCATGGCAACCTTGTTGGAATTTATGCTTAGAAGAAGGAAAATATTGAAGTTTACAGAATATGAAAAAACTAAGTAATTAATTCGGAAATTTTTTAATATTTTTACTCTGAACAAAACAAAATGGCTAATGGATCTTGAAAAAGATAAAATTATGTTTGCAATTATTCCCAATAACTTATAAAAAGACAAAAATTAACAGTTTATATTTTCGATCAATCAAATTAAACAATTATTTTTCATATATATGTTATATTTGAAAATTTTTATTAAAAAATGAATAGCATAGTGTGTAATTTGTTGACAATAACTCTAAAAATTGCTGAGAAACTTTTTGACGTTCAGCAACAGAATGACAAATTTGTTTCTAAAAGTAAGAATTAATTTTAGAAAGAAATTTAATTCGACTTATTCGTGCAAAGCAAAGTATTTTTTTTTTTTGAAAAAGATAAGAAATGAATTGGAAAAGACAGATTAGAAGAAGAGCTGTCGTATAATAAAGATAATTTAAAAAATGGAAAGAAAAAGCTTTGCTCTCAAAAAAAAAAAAAAAAAATCTAAAAGTACTGAAAAGCCTTAAGGCTAAAATAAAAATTTATGCTTTTTGAAATCTTGCGTTCAACTTTTCATACACATTTTATTATCATTGCTAATATTTTTTGTGCTAAAAATATGAAAATGATAATGCATTTATTTTTCTTTTCATTAATAAAATTGAAATTTTTTACAGTTTACAAGAAATTAATCCGCTTGTAGTAAAATGTATGTAAAAAACAGAGCAAAAAAAGAAATAATTTGAATTTTGTACAAATTACCATTTGCATTAAAATTTTTCCTTACTACAATAATTCTTATTTCTGTTCTTTTTGTTAAGCAAATTTTTGAAATTAAAAAAAAATTTTAAAAAGGAAAAAATAAGTAAAAGTTTTGAAAAACATTGTTTCAAATTTTAAAAAATCACTATAATTTTTTCAAGTTTTATTATAACTTTTTTAAAAAAATTTAAAAATTATAACTTTTTGTATTAAAGAAGAAAAAAGAAAAAAGAACTGAAAAAAGACACACATTATATAATAGATATAAGACTATTTATGATACTAATGAATAATAACCATGGTCTGGAAAGGAAAGCAAGGAGAGAGAGAGAGAGAGAGAAAAGATCTACCACAAATAATTTATTAGAAATTCTGTTCTTTAAAAAAGATAAATTTTTCATCGATAAAATATTTTTAATTACAAATGTATGTCCATATAAAATTTCTTATTAATAATATATTTTTAAATTTTTTTTTTTTTTCGATAAAAATATTTCTAGCGTAATTATTAAAAAAAAAGAAAGAAAGAATGGAAATGGAGAACTAAAAAGCTTACTAAAGTAGAAAAGAATTTTAAAATACTCAAAGTAATCGATATTGAAGAAAGGTAGATATTGTTGCATGCAACAAAGATATAAGTTATATATTAAGTTAAAAAGTTATAAAAATTATATTTTATCACTTTTGTCATGTCATATAATTTCCCATAAAAGATTTGTTTCCCAATTTTTATTAAATATTTCTTCTTTTTTTTTACATTGAAAAAATAATGAGCAAAATTAAATTGAAATGAAAATTTACATGCATGTTTAATGAGACTGTCCACGAACTATAAGGGATCTAAATTTAGGTGCAATTTCGTCTGCTTTTTCTTTTTTTTCTTGGATGAAAGTTAATTTCTTGTCATGGAAAATTTTGCATAAATGCTTCTGTAAACAATGTCTAAAAAATTGTATGGAGCTTCAACTGGAACATGTCAACTGATTTGATAATTAAACACTGATAGTTAAAATTAACATGTTTACCATTTACACTGGGCACTTGAGCAATATTACGACCATCAGCATAAACAAGATAGGAATGTACAGCGGCACGAGACGGTGGTAATGGTTGATTAGTGACCGGTGTCCAGGAAACCAAAAGTGTACCAGGTTGTGGACCCATTTCAACCTGTACATTAGAAGGTGGATCCGGAAGACCGACTGAAACATCACAGTATGCATATTGGCTGAATTATGAAGGAATGAAATATATCATATCATATCATATATCATATCATACATAGCATGTGATATTACATCATATTATGTTGTATTATACTATATCTTTAAAAATTTTTAGCAATAGCAATACAATTGAGAGTACATGTAAGAAGGATCTCAAATTATCCAATAAAATTGATAAAAATCATTGATTATTTAATACTTAGCAAAAATGATAAATTAAACAATTAATCATTTTATTTTATCTTAATAATAAAATTTGCTTTAATTAATTTTTGTCATCCAAAATATTACTTTACAGAAAACAAAAAGTATTTGAAGAAAAATGAAAAACTTTTTGGCAGCGTTTTGAAATCGCAGCAACGTTCAACGGGTCGTTGCTCTAAGACAGCTTTCGGATGTTTGGTGCGTACCGAAACACGATAGATTGTTGAGGGTAAAAGACCGTTTAATTGCACCTAAAAAAAATGAAATAAGGAAAGAAAAAGAGAAATTGATAAATAATCAATAAACAAATATTAATATAATTTTTTTTAATGATGAAAAAATGTTACGAATTTTTATGCAGATATCATTATTAGGAGGTATCTAATAATTAGATAATAGATAACAGAAAGAATACAGATAATCAATTTACTCATGATGAATATTGATATGTTAAAAGTATTAGATTAAATAATCATCAAAGATTTAAATTATATATTAAGTAAAGTACGTTTCTTAATTTCGCTTTTCTACGATTTATATTAAGTATTATGATGAAAAAAGAAATTTTTTTTTTTGAAAGTTAATATCTTAGATTAACGTTTTACAATAAAAATTTGAAACTTTTTAAATTTTAACCTGAAAGACAGACGGAGGACACATCCCCACTTTTACTGCATTGAGCAGAATAACATGTTCCGCTTTACTATCACTTGGATACCATGATACGCAAGCTGATATTGGTGTTATCGACCAGATACGAACGTGTTGCGGTGCTATTGGTGCATCTTAATTATTTAAAAGATGTACTAAAGACATAATGAATTAATGATCTCAATTAATTCCTAATTGTTATTATATCACTGTTCTTTTTCTTTTTTAAATTTCATTGGTTTTTCCTCGAATTTTAAAAATATAAACCTTTTCCCAAAGAAATAGTACATGCAGCATCTGGACTATGTCCATTCTCGGTTACAGCACGCACTGATAGATTAATTGATTTTGACAAATCAATATCTTCGATTAACGCTTTACATTTGAAAGATCCTGGTACTACGGCACGAACAATGCTATCAACGCAAATATGATACTGTGATATGGGTGTTAATGAATCATCAGGCGCAGTCCATGATATCACACAGCTACGACTCATTTTCTTCTCCACTGTTAACTCCTGCGGAAAAGGCACTGAAAATACCAATGAGATCGAACAAAAAAAAAAACAAAAAGAGAGTAAACAAAAATAATTTAATGTAACCAAATAAAAAAAGTTATACAATCGTAATAAAAATACAATCTATTATAAATGCATTACAATAGATCCTAATTAATTTTAAATTATTTTTTTGATTACAACTATATCACAATAATCAATGTTTGATTCGTTTAATTTGAAAAAAAAAGGTCTGAATGTTTTATTTGTTGTTATTATTATTGTTGTCATTATTGTTATTATTTCTATTTTATTTTTGCTTTTTCCCTTTTATTTTTCTTCCTTACTACTTTTCTTTGCTAACGTATTTTCTATCTTTTAGCACTGCCGAAAATCAATGAATAGCACAAATCCTCCAACGAAATATTTGTAACGCTTTGCCTAACTTTTATCTATTTTGTCTGCTGATATATTTTGTCACTTTTAAATCCTTAAGCTTTTGAATAACTTAGCTAGCTAGCTATCTTGCTTATTTGCTTGCCTGCTTAAATAATCATCGTAGACTATATATGAGCCTTCAACATCCATCAATAAAACTTTTCTTAGTGATGTAGGATATGAACATATGTGTGTATACATATATATATATATATATTTGTTTTTATGTCTGAGAAATACTTTAAGTAAGCTAATGCCTAAGTCTACGCAAAAGCTAGAGTTAGACTAGACATAGGAAAAGTATTGAATGTAGCCCAAAGGAATTACATTAGCTTTTCTTCTTTCTTTAAGGCTTTTCTTCCTCCGTTCAAGTTAAATTGAAAAAGCAAACGGTATACATGCATTTTATCCCTTTTCTCTCTTTTATTTTCTTATTCCTGTCTCTTGATTTCCTCTTCTCCCCCGCAAAAAAAGTAGTCAATATCATCATTTAACACAACTTGATGACAAATTTATGACAACAAAAAGAAATATATGTATAGTTTTGCTTATTAATCATGCAACGAAATTATCGAACTAATTTTATTGTAATAAGATGAAAATTAGAAAAGATCAATAATAAAATTTTGGAATGATAAAGAAAAGAAAAAGGAAAATTTCATTCCCAAAAAAAAAAAAAAAAAAAGAAAAACGCAACTGTTATTGCATATGAAATAAATTTGTATAATTTGTCTTATAAGTAATGATTAAACAATTTTTTAGTCACAAATTTATATATATAAGTAAAATTTTTAACAATAACAATAAAAAAATATTTTTTCATTTATTTACTACAATTTTATAAAATCAGCAAACTATTTTCTAAATTAATAAAATAATTAAAATGAAAAAGAGGGGTCTCTAGCTTAGGTAATTGAAAAGGTTTAATAAAATGAAATATTTGAAATTTATCCATTTCATATATTACATTTAGCTTAGAAAAGAGAAAGTGTAGTGTAACATATTATTTAGAATTCAAATTAAAATTGTTAAATTGAAATCTTTTCTCCTTCAAAGAAAAATAGAACAACATTTATATTTGTAAATCGAAAATACTACAGCTGCTTAATTCTGGTTTTAAATCATATCTCTTTTGAACAAATATTACAATGATATGACACAGTAAGATGTGACGGGATACGGTACGGTACAAAATATAGTAATTTGATACGATGCAATGATACGATATACTATGATGATACGGTAAGGCATAATACTTCAGTACAATGCGACTAATAGAGTGAGTTGCTCGAAGGAGTTAACTGTGATATTTACTCCTCTATACAAAAATTTGTTTACTCCCTTGCTACTATATTTTTCATTTGTGTCGCAGAAAAAAACAATTTTCTTCCCTGAATAGACAAACTGCATTTAACAAACTGTAAAATTTCAAAAAATTCATGCACAAAAAAAGGGACTATTTAATGAAGGCTGACTAAACTGATTAATATTGGAATAATTTTGAGAATCAAAAAAGAAAATCAGTTTTATATTCATATATTACATTTTGAACAATATGAAACTTAATCGTAATTGAATAATTTTAAATTGGATAAGAAATATAATGTGGGAGATTGTTATTTTCTATATGAAAGGAAAAACATTATACTGAATTCTAAATAGTTAAAAAATGGGAATAATTATAAAATCTTACAGAAGACTACAGAAAAAGAGTATTTTCATCGGTTTGAACCAATAAAATACGAAATTGTAAGCGCTATTTCTGTTTCCAAACATGTTATATACTTAAATAATAAATAACAGTTTTTTTCTTGAAATGTCTTTAATAAATCAAAAAAGGAAAAAAGAAAACTTTAAAACTTATTTCTAGTCATCATTGTATTGTAATAACTTTTAAATAATACAATGATTATAATATAGTACATTGTACTGATATTCAAATTTCCTAGTAGATTGCGCACTACATGATTATATTTGCATGATTATATTTGATTTAAATTATCTATTAACTGGGTAATCTGCTAGGAATTTCGAAAAATAAGTTATCATGCATATACAATGCTGTATATATCATACGATTATGTAAATAGATAACAATGGTTGCAGCATTATTCTTTATGATTGTAATGAACTAACAATATAAATGAGAATACTAATATTTGGAAAAGCATAAATTAAGTAACTATAATTGCAGGGGAAATTTTTTGAATAGTAAAATTAATTAATGAAGAAACCAAAATTGAATGAGTCTTCTTCAATATAAATCCAAAAACTATTCAATTCTTAGTTTTTTTACATGATTTAAAATTTTATCTTATGATGTTAATCTGTCCAAAAAATACTTAGTTTAATATTAGCAATACCTTGCATAATTATTGGTAATTAAACAGGAATTTGTAAGATTATTCCACTGGGAAGTTGCATAGTTTTGCAAAAACTTACTTAACATAAGTTAATTTTATTTAAAAAACTTGTCATTTCTTGAAAAAGTATAGTAAAAAAAAGTGAATTTCTCTTCATATAAATGGAAAATGATAATAATAGAGAAAGAGAGAGGAAGGGAGAGTAAGAGAGAGAATAAATTGGAAATTTTACAGTACACTAAATAAATGTAATAAAAGCAACATGAAAAGAGAAAAAATATGGAAATAATCAGAATAAAATATAAAATAAAATTTTGAAAGAGTTTTTTTTTTTGAAACAAAAAACAAGATTATTTGATTAAAACTATTTATTATATCTTTGTCATCAATGTAATGATAATCAAGTTTATCAAATTTTTTACTAATTTTATCAAGCCATAATAGTAAAGCAAATTTATTTAATGATTAATTAGGCACAATTGAGCATAAGCATATACAATTGCTTATCATTTATAATTTATGGATTCTCGTTTTTATTCGAACAATAATAGATATAAAAAATGATTACATTAGATTATTTGACCACAATAGCTTAAATTTTAATTTTAATTGATAATAAAATTACAATATAAATTGCATATTTTGTTCATAGATACCAATTGTTAATTAAAAAATAATAAAAAAGCAAAAAATATTCCTAAATTTCATAACCGAAAAAATAAAATAAGGGCTATAACTGGAAGATAAGAATGTATTAGCAAAATGCGAAATATTGTTGAAATTAAAAAAAATGACGTAAATTTCCAGCCAATTAACAGATAAATTTGAATCAAATTAATAAGTTAATATATATTTTTAAATATAAGCTGTAAATGTAAATCTGTTTAAAAAAAAACGGTTGGCAAACTATAAATTGATTAATTAATTAAGATAAAAAATATATCATTATTGATAATATTATGATAATATTGACATTCACATAGAGATTATATATGTAAATTGAATTTTTTTAATTAAATGTATAAAAAAAGATTACCACGTGGATTATCGGTAATTTTCACTTCCTGCACTGTAACTTTAGCGATATCAACGGGAGGATAAGGACAAACAGAATCAGGCAGTGGTGGCGCTATTGTTGTTGCTGATTGCGCAGTTGCAGAAATACCTGCTGCTCCAGGATGAGCTGATGAGGTGGAGAAATCATGCTGAATTTGTGTCAGATGTGGAGGTACAGTCAATGGGAATGATGGTGATCGAACACGGGAAGTGTTAAGCAGTAGTTGTTGGTTTGGGATACGTTCCACGTAATTTGATGGTACTAAACCTGTTTGACCATCTAATGTTTCACCATGATAAAATTGATCCTCATCCATTTCACCGTGTACCAATATATACTCTCCGGCCTAAAATTTCTTGTTATCATTTGGATAGATAAAAATAAAAACAGAAAAGAAAAAAAAAACTTTTTTTAAAGTAAATAGAAATAATAGTCATACTATATTTATTTATTAAAAAAAATTTTTTTTTCTTATAAAAATTCATCAATCTTTCTTTTTTTCTTTGTTTATAATAATGTTGTTCAAAAAGTACTGTTAACTTAATTATGAATGATAAATGATAGGATTTGACATAGAAAAAAGAAGACTGATCTTATTAATTTCAATAAAAAAATACTGCTAAAAAAAAAAAAAAAAGAGAACTCATGGATAAAAGATTAACTGTAACAGAAATTAGTAAAGTGATTATTCAAGGATATTAAAAATTATACGGGATATGTTATTGAATGGAAACAGAAAAGTCTAAGAATCGATTAATTAAACTGATAAAGGAAATAGCAATAATAAAATATACATTCATTATAGCATGACAAATATCGAATAAAGATAATAGTAAGTTAAGTTTTTGAATTTAATTTTCTATTTCAGTCCTAACAGTTTTTCAATAACCAAAGTAGTAGACTAGCATTAAAGGTTGAATTCATTACTTTGATTAAATAAATTATTTAGATATAAAGTCATTTATATGTTAAACATAATATACATTTGTATACTTGTGTCACATCTCTTAGCATTATTACGCATAAATATATCGATAGTATCCTTAAGTAATTAATTATGACTCACTTATAATAATACGAATATTTCACTCTTTCTATACTTATTTCATTTTTTTCTTTTGATAGGATAATAGCAAATATAAGAAGAGAATTATGAAAGAAATTCAGATATTTTTAGTTGAGCTTTTAAAGTATCAACAAGAAGAAAAAATTTGTCCCATCCAGAAAATACAACAGAATTATTATTTTTTTTTTTTTTAAATGGAAGATTTTACGATTTATGTCAACTAATCCTTTCGTTCTTTTTAGATTTTAACAAATGACATTGGTTGTTGCACTTTTAAGATTTTTTGATCCGAAATATAACTCAAACAAGCTATTTTCTTTTCCTTACATTTTTGGTTATGTGGTTTTTAAATTTTGAAATATAACATTTTATTAGCTGCATTTTTCTTCTCTAAGCAAAAGAATTTTCTTTAAGATAATTAGTAATCAATAAAGTAACATTGCCGTTGTTAGTTTAATTTAATGATAATTGAATGACAATGATTTAAAAAAGAACATTATTAAATTTTGATGATTAATTTCAAAAATTAGAGAAGTTACATGTGCTATGAACAATAAATAAGAATAAAAGCTTTACGTTATATATTTTGAAATATACTTTTCTTCTTATTAGAAAAAAAATTGCTTCATTTTAAAGCAATAAGCATGAAAAACACTATTAAGAAACGGAAATTAATATTACGGTATAATTAACTGACAAATAACAATTACTTTACTACATATTACTATTATAATGAATAGATGAAAGTCTGTTTCATAAATATTTGCAATTATCTGCCTTCATTTTTCTTTCACTCTACAACATTTAATCATTAATCAACCACTCTATTGAAGTATAAATAGCAAGGAAGTAAGGCTAAATTATTTATCGAACAATTAACATACTTGAAGTGGTAATTCGAATTGCGGATTCTCATTCGGTGAATCACGTATTGGAATATATTGAAATAAGGCGCGAAACAAACGCGCACTAGGTTTTTGACGTAATGCTAATAATAAAACATCAGATATACTGGAATATGACTTGGTTGCTGCAGTTGAAAAAGGCTGTTGTTGTTGTTGTTGAGAATGATGTTGATGATATTGATGAGTGTGATAAATGACAGATGTTGTTGATTTTTCACCGATATTTTGGTAAGAATTAGATGAATTTTGCACCGTAGTTAATAATGATGATGAAGCAGTGGAATGTTGTTGTTGTTGTTGTTGCTGATGATGATGATGTGAATGCGGTATTGTATCAGAACCGCTAGCTGTATATGCTAATGGCATAATGCATTGATAACAATTCCATTAATTGATAATACATAATAATTAAATTTCAAAAAAAGAAAGAATGAAAAAGTACCAAAATAAACTTGATAATTAATCCTAGGAATAAATTCGAAAATAATTAGAAGGACAGATGGAATTGTGAAAATAATCGTGAATTCCTGATATCTTTCAACATACCATAATAATAATAATATTAAGAATGATAATAATATTAATAATAATAATAAGCGATTAAAATTCTTATGTTGTTCTTGCACTGAAATAATTTACAGATATTATAAGTAAAATGTAGGAAAAAGACCCGAATAATGATTCATAATAAAATAAATTGGCATTAAATTTCAATTTTATTTTTATATTTCCATATTTACTAAAACGAAAAAATAAAGACATAAAACAAATAACATAAAAAACTATCTATCATCAATCAGCAGAGCTACTTTCCAAAAAAAAAGAAAAAAAGAAAGAAAAAAGAAAGAAATAGCTTAGTTTGAATAAAACGTTTAAAAAAAGAATGAAGTTCAATATTATGTAGAATGATAAAATTTTATAACCATAAATATTTCATTTATTGTTAATTAATCATAAATATTGAAATATAATACAAAAATACTTTTCTCGTAAAATATATGAAATGTTTGAAATATATAAGTAAGCTATATGAAACGAATAATGAATGAATTCGTTTTGCCCTGTTTAGCCTATACATATACTTATGAAAGTAGTAGAGTATATTGTCGAGCAATAAGCAGTAGTAGCAAAGCAGATTGCGCTAATTTATGCTTAAGAATATATGCATGTTTGCATGTATGCATGCATGTGTGTGTGTGTATGTATATATATATATATGTATGTTGTATGCATGTATGTGTATGTGTAAATATTAAATTAATGCTTAAGCAATATTTAAAAGAACAATCAGAATTTGAGTAGCATTTATTCATCGTTCTGTTTTTCTTCAACTTTTTCCCTCTCTTCTAACTTCTCTTCCATTCTTTTCTTATTCTATTCCATGAGGCCTATGTTATTGATGTAAAAATTGAGACAAATAGTATAGAAGAGAGTGAGGATGATGATAAAATAGCTAAGCTAGTAATAAGTCTAGCTTTAGCTTTTTTTTTTATAATTAAGTTTCTATCTTTGAGAAAGGCATAGCAAAGCAATGAAAAAAAAAAAAAAAAAAAAAAGGAGAAAAAGAAGAAGTGAAATTGAATGTTTTAGAAGAATAGAAAGGAAGAAAAAGGATGATAAACAAGCATAAATATAAAAGCCTTAGGCTTAGCAAATATAAACTAAAGTCTTACAAATCTTTTTCATTTTTTTCTTTTTCTCTCTCTCTCTCCCTTTCTCTCTCTTGTTCCCATTTCCTTATTCTTCATCATTTTAAGAGTTGATGGAACTTTTTTTTTCCTTCATATAATATCTCAGAGAAGCTTCCGTGTTTAGTAAATCGATTTTCTTCCAAATTGTCTCCTCCCCCGCCACCTAGATCCTGAGAGAATTTTTAGCGATGGATAGTGATGATGAAAGAGGAGGAAGAAGATGAGAAAAGAGAGACAAAGACGCCAAAATCTTTAATCTTGTTAGTTTGGTGATGATGCATCTTCGATTTATCTTCAAATGAATCTTCTCAAACAAATTACATCAAATATTAAAACAAAAAAGGATGAAAGAAAGAAAAGGAAATGGGATGATTTTTGAATAAATGTAACATTTGATAAATTAATCATTTGCAAAATTTCTAATGACAAAATTTTATGTCTTAATGAATTAATTGAAATTCAAAAGTTAACTAGTCTTTTTTTCTTCCTTCTTTTTGTCCTTATTTCCTATCATTAAAAAAATATTAAGCAAAAGAAAAAATAATAATCACAAAAATAAAAGAATCCCTTTTCATCCTTCTCTCACTCTTTCCTTCTCCTTCTTTCCCTCTCTCTCTCTTCCCAGTATTTTTCGTTATTTTTTCAGAAAAGAAAAAGTAGTGATTAAGTATATGTTCACTATTTAAAAAAAAGACAAGTTATTGTATGAGTTTAAATTACATATCAAATATATTATACTTCTAATTCTTTTGCTGTAAAATAGATTTAGGCTTAAAAAAAAAAATAAACCGAAAAAGTTGACCAATTCAAGCATATATAATTGTTTCATAATCGACTCACTTTTTTATTTTTTTCTTTTTTTGCTTCAGTTGGATTATTTCATCTTGGTAGCACAATTTATTTATTAGCGAATTTCCGGAAGTGACCGGAATAAATTAATCGTTTTGCATTCTTTCCTTTTCATTTCTTCCGGCGACATATATTTTTCATTCTTCATTTAATTTATTTCTGCTAGTGATATATTCAGTAAGAAATGAGAAAAAAAACCAAAAAAAAAAAAAAAACAGAGATGCTAATGATTCAATTATGATTCCAAAATGATTTACCAATCAAACATTACAAATAAGTAACTGAATTATTCATATGAATGAAAATCATTAGTTTACGTTGAGTTGAATGTCTAAAATTATTATCATTAAATGATGACAGATCATTTTATCACTATAAATTAGTAATTAATATTCAGCAAATTTCATCATTTTTCTCTCTTTTTTCTCCTAAATTTCGATAAATTACATTTAAACTGTTCAGACTTTTTTTTTTCTTTACACAAATTATTTAGCACAAATTATTTTGATTATAAGAACAAGTTTAAATTTGTCAAGTTTATATTTTCTAATCCTTATATTTCTTTAAAAAAAAAACTTTATATTAAAAAAAACTCTCTCAGTTTTCATTAAAAAAAAAAAAAGGAGAACAATTTTAGCAAATAATTCTTATTATATACACATCAATCATCGATAATTGATATATGAATCAGACGGAAAACTTTAGGGACGCACGTTGAGCAGTATAAAGAAAAGTTAATTTTTAAAAAAAAAATTATAAAAATTTTTCACATTGTTGTAACTTATTTGTTGTGCTAATCTATTTGTCTTTTTTTATAGAAACTATAAAAAAAGTGCAAGTCGAATTTAAAAAAAATGGAACAATTTTCAATAACCGAAAAACTATGTAGATTTGTATTCACAAAAAAAAAAGAAAAAATTTGATTTAAACTTGTAAATAAAAAGTTGAGCTTTTCTTAGAATCACATGAAATTTTTGGATGTAAGATCCAAAATCTCTTCGTTTGAGCAATATCACAATCTGAAATTTCAAGATTATGTTTTTGCACATTTGCATTACTGAAATATAGATTTGAACACTTTTAAAAACTTCCAAATGCTACTACGCTTTTTTTTTTGATAAAAGCTTTATTGAAGAAAATTCTTTTTTCAAAGTTTCTTTTGCTACTTCCTCAGAAACCTTATGAGACGTCGCTTCGTCGAAATTTTGTGATTGTTAATTTTCTGTCACACCGAGGAACTGTTGTCACTATAACATAATGATTATGAAATCAATAATATTATGAACAATACATTATAATTATATCAGTTTATTAGTATCATTTTCATACATTCCCAAATTTGGACTGTTAATGCCGTATGCAACTGACTGCTTAATGAAAGTAAATACTGAATTACATTAAATAAAGTAATATTACTATATCGGAAGAAAATTTTGAAACACGAAGCATAATTACTCAAAAACTAATTAAACAAACAATTTGAGAATTTAATTGAACTGAGCAAATGTTCGCCGACAATTTTCTAATAATTGTTCCAATTTTTTTTTCGCGAAAGAACATGAAAATTGTTTGGAACAGTTGAAATTGCTTGGATTAATTGAAGTTGTTCGGATTAGTTGAAATAGCTCGAATCATTTGAAATTTCTCGATCATTTGAAATTTTCTCGATCAAAATTCTTTTCACACCTTTTGTCATTAATGAATGATAATTTCGTTTCAAACTTCTCCAATTAATTATTAAATCAATTATATTTCATGAAAAAATAATTCTGTCTAAAATTTTGCTCAGTTATCTATTAAATTGAAAAATTTTATATTATAACTAAGTATGATCATATTTACATATCTGTAATTGATCTTCCACGTCAAAAAAGAATAAGTCATTGTTGTCATGCTTATTAATTTATGCAAGTTTTAATTATTTATTCGATTTATTTAGTTATAAAATGTCTATTTATTGCCAAATTGTCAAGTTAACCAAAAAAAAAAAAAAAAAGGTTTATGCTTCTTTAAAAAGAATACTCTAATAATCCTTGTAGATTATCATAGAATTATTGATTTTTTCTTTCAAAATTCGATGTTTTATTTTTTGTTTCATTCATTTTTTGCAATTTTATGAAATTTGTCCAATTATTTTTTAAGAAATATTAAACCCTAAACAAAAAAAAAAACAAAAACAAAATAAATAGCAAAAAAGACAACATTTTCAACATCTTTTAAAAACTTCAAATAATTTCCTAAAAAATTTTATTTTTTGTTTCTTTTATTTTTTTTTTTTTTTTTGGAAAATTTTTTTTAATGATAAAAATATATAATTTAATCCATATTACATATGTTCAAAATTAATAAATGACAACTGGAAAAGTGAAGTAATTGCTAAATAATTAGCTCTAAATAACATTTCAGTTATTCATTTCCTAATTCATATGTGATAGATGCATGTAAATATATGCATACATGTGTGTGTGTGTGTGTATGTATGTATGTATGTATTTATGTACTTACGTGTATTGAAAATGCAATACGTTTCGGCAGGATATCATTTACAATGCGTCCGGTTCAAGTACAATATGTTCCGGCACAAAGCGATATTCCTTGTTCCAAAGCGGTTCAATTCAAATTAATGTTTTTTTTTTTTTTTTTTGCACTGCCTCTATTAATGTTTGTATATTTTATATTTAATAGCGTCAAATAAAGAAAGACTAATTTCAAGATTAAAAAAGAAAAAAAGAGACAGAAATTATTTTGTTATGTGTCTAAATTTAACGTAACAAAATTTTTGATGGATCTCTTTATATTACATTTGTGACTGATATAGGATTTAAAGAAAATTGCTGTAATCTGTTATATGATCGTTCACATAAATTTCTCATACCTAAATCTGATACACATTTTAATGACAATAATTTTTGGTGATGATTAATTTCTCTGAATTCTTTTTATCTGGAAAACTTTCCATACTGAATTACATAGATGCGACAGATATAGACATGGATTAGTAGCAAATCTAACATATCAAAAACGTTACGTTACAAAATCAATAAAATACGATAGCATTAGTCGGAAGATTTGATAAAAATGTATGTCGGTCGTTATGATCGAATAGCTTTCAATAATTTCAGAAATTTACAAATTTTGTCAGTGTCAACTTGTCTATCCAAAAAGTTTAATGCAATGAAATGATCATCAATTAAAGGAATTAACGATTATAAATTAACAGAAAGGTTTGAGGTTTGAATAGAGCGTACGAAAGTCTTTGCAACCGTCAACCGTAAATTACATTTTTAAATAAATATCTGATTATTTGCGCCTCTTCTGCTTTACGATGGTAATGTCAAGCGTTACTCTCGTTAAGTTAATAAATCTTTCGCAATTATTAACTAGTGGGTAATATTTTCGAAATTATCTTTTAATTAATTCCTTTTTTCTCAGTGATGGGCTACTTTCACTACATATTTGTTCTGACTGATGTGCTACTTTTACGTACAAGAATTCTCAAGTTTAGTATGCATGTAACGAACGTGTAATAAACGTGTAATTTTTTCTGTTAAAATATATATTCTAATGGTTTTTGAAATAACAAAAAGTTTTACCACAAACCTAGATGATTTAAATATATGAACAAATCGAATTGAACAAATTATTTTGATTGGGAAAAGGAAAAGTCATGAGTATCATTATTTCATTTGTTAATAGTTAAATATATCATATCATAAATCTGCTAATTTTGCATTGATTTAGTTTCGCTTAACACTATACTTTCATATAAAGATTGTGTCATTCCATTGTTCACGTGTAGTTACTGCAATAAAAGCATCGTACTTTTTCTGCTTTTTTATTTACGTACTTTTTATTAAATTTCATAATTATTCGTTTAAATCACAAATTATAGTTATAATATTACTACTACATATACATAATTGATTTACTAATTTCAATGATTTAATTTCCAAATAAATGCGTTATCTGCTTTTTTACTAGTTTTGTTTTATTTACAGTTAAATACATAAATCTTTTCTACGTTCTATTCATGAATTTGTTTCCAAATTTTTAATTTCAGTTATCGCTTCTGCATATACATGATTAATTTATTTACTAGTTTCAATCACTCAATTTCTGCAAAGAGGTGCAGGAAATTAATTGCATCTTAATGAGTGAGTGTAAAACAGAAGTCGATGTTCCGTCGACCTCAGGTGCGAAAGTAGTTGTTGAATCAGTGATACCAACAATGAGTGAGGAGACATTGTCTGCAGTACGTCGTGAAAGCCCACAAGATGCTTCTTCCTTCCATAATTGTAATTTTCGTGTCTTATCTCAATTCGTTTCTATCACCGATTTACACTTCAAAGAACGATCATTTTCTGTCTTCACTGAACTTTCATTAGCACCATTACATCCTGAACTACGACAAATTTGTCTTAATGTTGGGCCAGGTTTGTTATCTGTTTATATTTTTAACAAATATCTTACTAACAGATATCAATTAAAATGATTGATCTTTTGTATTCATATTTTTTTTCTTGTAGATGTTATGTTGCCAAATGAATTCCCAGATGGTGTTATTGGTCGAGTTACTGTAAACGATGAAGATGCAGAATATATTCGGATGGATCCTCTCAAAGTTAGTTCTGATATAATATGAGGAGCATATATGTTTAATTTATAAAGATATGGAAATTGAAAAGAAGATTCTATTTATTTTTAAACATCAGGGAAAATTATTCAATGATCTTTATTTTCTTATGAGATTTAATAGGTAATGAAGTTTATTTTAAATTATTGAGCTCTCCCATGTATGAAATAAACTTTTAGGTATTGAGTCACAAGGCGGGACAAAGTTTGAACAGTCTTTCACACGATATGTACGATGAACTAGAGGATTGTGAGGGTGAACTTTTAATTAATGTTCCAGAAAGTTGTTATGTACTTATGGATGAACAAAAAGTTATTAAAATTGGCATTGATATCAGAGTTGTTAATCCGAGGCATGTAAGTCTTTTCTTTAAGGTTTACTGAAACTTCAACATTGGAAATTTTTAAAAACTTTAACAATTTTTAAAGCGTGATTAAGTAGTTTTTATAATGTGGTAATATAAACGAGCGAACTAATACAAAGTTACTTTCGATATGTGATTTTCCCATAGGAAATATTTTTGGCCTTTTTTTTGTGAATTCAACATTTGAAATGTTTGAATTTCTAAAAAAATAGCTTATCTATATAATTTGGATAATTTGAGAGGTTTAGCATAATTTTATTGAACACTTTTATTTGTTTGCTCATTTATTCATTTTTTATCGCTTATTTATTCATCAATTCAGGGTATACATTTTGTTTGTTCATTTTCTGATGATGATACTTTGGAAAGTGGCGCTCATATGTATACATACAGGTATATTTTCATACGAAAAATGTTAGGTGTGAAATTGTGTCATGTATAAATAATTGATAACTGTTTGATATTCACATTTTGCTGTTTCATAATTGTCTCTTTTGCAGAGGAATCAATTCATAAGAAAAGTTCTCGTTTTTTGTATTCTAAAATCGAAGAAACGCAATTTTTAACCTTTTTTTTTTCTTTTTTTTTTTTTTTTTTTGCTGACCTCTTACTTTATGTGAAAGACTTATGAACAGAAATATTTTTTATTTCTTTTGGTCGGGTACGCTATCGAGTACGCGTCATTGGTTACCTTGTTTGGATACACCTGATCAGTTATGCTTATGGCGAATCGAAGCAACTGTTGATCTTATGTTCACAGTAGTTGCCAGTGGCGAATTATTTGTAAGTACTTCTTTGCTTCTCTAGTTTAAAACTTTTTACTGTTTATATTTTTTGTTAAAATATACTATCTAAGGACATTTCGCTGATCAAGACTATCACATGCCACCGATATCTATTAACTTTTGATGAATGAAATAAATATGTTGCTAGTATTCCAATATATTGTCTTTATTGTACAGTGTAATCCTAGCACGTAGTAAATTCTTTTTTCTTATTTATATTGATGGAAAATGCACCGGTGAAGTCTGCTTACAATTTACTTGATGTTTACCTAATAAACATTACAGGATACGGAATATACAACTGACTTACAAGAAAAGATTTATCACTATCAACTTTTAGTACCAACTTCTGCAATTAATATCGGTTTTGCGGTTGGTTGTTTTACTCCAGTTGTGCATCCTGATATGCCTGAAGTACGGTTATTTTATTTTGCTACAAACTATTAAGATTAAATTATAAGAAGGTTTTAAAAATAAAAAAAAAAAGATGAAAACTTTACAGATAACAAGTTTTGCACTTCCTTCACTATATCCTCTCGTAAAGCATACAACTTCAACAAGTGATCGAGTTTTTGAATACTTTGAAGAGCTTCTATCTTGCCGATTTCCTTTTTCATCCTATAAACAAGTTTTTGTTTACCAGGTTTGTGGTGTTAAGTCATTTAATTTGAGTTTTTAGATTTTACGGGAATACAATTGAGTTTTTATTAAAGAAAAGTATATTTAGTGAACAAGGAGGCTAAAAATTCTCTAAAATAATGCGGAAATTTTTGCATTTATATCTTTTTGCACGAGAAGCTTTCCTATTCTTACTAATTTCAGTTCCATTTTAATGCTTGGAATTTTATTGCGAGGTTTTTTATTTTTAGATTCCCGATGAAGTTACAGCCTATACTGGTTTATCAATACTCTCACTGACCTTATTGTATCATAAGAAAATTTTGGATGTTGTACAAGTAAATTTTTGTTCAAAAATCTTTGAATAAGTATGTTGAAACTAAACATATGATGAAAATATTTAGATTTATCTCAGCTGTAATTAATTTGGTTTAAATTTAACTACTCTAATTCTTGAATGTAAGTATTTTCTAATGTCATCCCAATTTTCAATCCGCAGTCAACCGTTTATTTTTAGATGACGCGTCAGTGCCTTGCTTATGCAGTAGCGCAGCAGTTTTTTGGATGTTTTGTTACCTCAACGTGTTGGCTAGATATTTGGCTAGTTTCTTCGCTTGCAAGGTTTATCAGTTCAGTTCCCTGTTAAGTGTACTCAAATTATGAGCTTACATGAGCTGATGCATTTCAGCAAAAAAAAAAATGTATGATAAGTGAGGAATGAGCAAATGAAAAATTATTGGTAACCATAAAGTGGGCTGGGATATCATTTCTGAATTTTTCATAGTAAACAGAGAAATTGATTATCATCCAAATTTGCTAAAGCGATAGAAAAATTTTTGAAGTTTCCATTTTCATTATGTTATTATTTTCATGAACTTATTTTGCCTGCATATATCTGTAAAAGAGTTTTTTAGTCTGCAAAAAACTTTTTTTTGTTACATTATCTCTTGAAACTACTTTTTGCAGATCTGTCACTGGCATGTTTGTAGAGCGATTTTTCGGTTTTTCTGAGAATCTTTTTCAGGTATAATTATAAGTTTTAACCAATTTTTCAAAAACAGTTATATATGATTCTTAAGAAGAAAAATTTTTAGATCAGTAAAATGCTGAGTAGTGTTTGTGATTATGAAACACGTTGGGGAAAAATTGTTTTGCGGCCCTCAAATACAAATTATAAGGTGAGATTTTCAGCATATGTGTGTTTAAATTATTCTGAAGTTGGAAAATACTCTTTTAAAGATTTTGAATTTAATAACATCCAAGAAGTTTATGTGATTTGTTATTATTCTTTTTTATGTTGCTTTATCTAACCAAAGTTGGCTTTTACTTACCCAAACCTAAAAAGGGAAATGTTGGTTCCAAAAATAATGATGATTGAATTTTTCTTATCTTCGAATTTCTTATCTTTCAGCAGTATTTACATTTCGATCCAAGAAACCCGTATACTTGCTCTCCTCTGTATGCAGATGCTTTGTTCAAGAAAGGACACCTTGTCATGCGGATGCTTAACCAACGTTTAGGCAAGGAATCATTTTTGCAGGTTAAATTGAATGTTTCATTTTTCTTAAAAGATTTTTCTTTTTTTGCTAACCATTCTAGGAGTTGATTAGAGAACACCAATTTATATGTGATTACTATGATATTCTTCATATGTCATTTTCAAAGAAGTAGAAAAAGTGAATGTAAAAAGCGATTTCCAGAACTTCATGTGTTAGTTAAGTCTTCTAGTATTCTAGTCAGTGTTTTCTTCTCCAGTTTTAGGTAATACAGAAAATATTAAGCGTAGCGATGCAAGCAAGCCAACTGCAAAAAGAGCCAGTTCATTGGCAGCATATGACAGTTTCAACGGAATCGTTTTTTCGTACCGTTTCCAGTGTTACGGGCCAAGAATTGCCGACATTTCTGGAGCAGTGGATTCACAGCGGTGGTCATGCAAAATTTTGGGTTAGTGAAGTAACTTTTGGGAGGAACAAAAACATGCGAGTAAGAAAGTGCAAAAAAAAACAGAAGTTAATAAAAAAGGAAAGTAGGATTTAAAAAAGTAACAGTTAATTCGAGTATTTTAAAAATATTCAAACAAAAATGAAGAAAAAATGATGCACAATTTCTTAAGTTCTTTTATACCAAAGATAAGATTCCAAATATTTTTATTGTTTAATATTTTTTTAAGGAAAGTTAAGCAACACTGTTGTAATATAACATAACTAACTATTCATGTTGTAAAATTATTTTTTTAATTTTTTTTTCTTTTTTTTTTTTTTTTTAGTATTTTCAGTCTAATTTGTGCACTAATTTGAAATCAAATATTTCAGGTGCAGTATGCTTTTAATCGTAAACGAAATATGATTGAACTTGAAGTTAAACAAGAACCTTCTGCAAATCGTGGACGACAAAGGTTCGTTGAATTTCATGGAATGTCTTATGCATTAAGTAAAGGAGCAAAATTTTGCTTTCCAATCTTAATTCATAATTCTGAGGAAATTGTGGCATTGAGCAAAGGACAAATAGTTTGTTCATTCTACAGAATAGTTTGTTCATTTATTCAGTTTATTTCAGTTACGTTGGTCCATTAATTGTTGTGGTTCAGGAATTAGATGGATCATTTACACATACAGTGCAAATCGATTCCAATCATTCGAAACATGATCTTCAATGCCATTCAAAGGTTAAATGATTTTCTGTTATTGATTACTGTCTAGGTGAATTTTAATTCGTGACCATCTAGTTTAGTGTAGGATTTTTTATTTGAAATAGAATCAAATTAAAGATTTTTATAAATTAATGTATATATGTTTTTTTTTTGATTTATAAATTTATAAAAGTGTATCTTTGTAGTATTAATTTTTACTTGTCCTTTTTCAGCATCCTTCTTCTAGTTGAGATTTGATTTGCGCTATTTCCTTAAATTTGGGTTTCCATTCATCATTTGTGCTATTAAAATTGCATATTATAGGGACGAAGGCAAAAGAAGAAAAAAATTCCACTTTCCACTGGCGAAGAGCTTGAAATTGATTTAGCAAATATGGATCCTGACTCTCCGGTTCTTTGGATTAGGTTGTGTATACCATCAAATAATTCTATAGAGAACAATATTATCATGAGAATAATATTTTCATTTTTCTTTTTTCAAAACAATGAGTTCCAGAATTGATCCTGATCTACTTTTGCTACGAAAAGTTAGCATTCAACAGCCGGTTTATCAATGGGAATATATGTTAAAATATGAACGAGACGTCTTGGCACAGCTTCAAGCACTCGATGTTTTACAGCGTTTTCCAAGTCCACACGCTAGAGCCATTCTTATTGAAACTATCGAAACTGAAGTTTTCTTCTACCGGCAAGTATTGTGATTTTATATTCTTTAGAATTTCTTGCATATTTTGAGGATAAGATGTAACACAGTAAACTGAAATAGCTTTGTGTCAAGCGCTTTCATTCTTATTTCATTTGTTTACTTCTTAAAATTTTAGAGTGCGATGTCGTGCTGCATATATTCTGGCAGAAGTAGTAAATAAATTACCAGAAACATGGTTGGGTCCACCCGCTCTGATGATTTTATTTAAGAAATTTTTTGGTTGTAAATCTGCGCCACATATTCCAAAACCGAACAATTTTGTGGCCACATCCGCGAATTTGCAACTATACTTCTTGATGCATGTCAGTTCATTACCTTTCTTGTTGTTTGTTCCTTATTTCATTTTGCTCATCAGAATTTATTAATATCTTCTAAGCTACCTTTTTTTTTTTTTTTTTTTTGGTATCTGTGTTTTAAATTTTCCAGAATTTAATTCTACATTTTCGTTAACAAAACAAACAAAACAACTTATTTATAATAAAAATTTTATTCATGTTGTTTTCTAATAATATTTAACCTTAATTCTTAAAACGCTATCATTATTTCTCTTCCAATTTGTTTGATATAGGCTATTAATCATTTCTTGATATGTAAACTTTTTTTTGCAGGCAATACCTCAAGCTTTGGCACGATTGCGTTCTTCTTCAAACAATGCCCTTTCAGAAGTTCATCATTTTCTTATTGGTTTAATCAAATACAATGACAATACTGTGAACAGGTAAGAAGGAATTCTTACGTATGTAATTGTCGTAAGAAGTACCTCAATCAATGGCATAAAGAATTTAATGTTGAAAATATTGAAGTTTTGTTTATTTCAAAAAATTTGAAAGTATCTCCAGGTATTCGGACGACCATTATCGAGCTTCATTGATAAACTCCTTAGCTGCTACATTGGTGCCAGCCGAAAACAGAGATATAATAAACATGAGTCCTCTTTCTCTAAATACCGAAATGAAGGAATTGCTGTCTGAGTTCACTCTTGCCTTAAATATGGATACATTAAAACCTAGTTTTGGCCGTGTTATTGGAATTACTGCACTTCAAGCTATATATCACGTAAATATTTTCAGATTGCTAGTAAAAAAGTGAAAAACATAAAGCATTTTTGAAGTAATCGAAAAATTGAACAATTTTCTTCCATAGCTCGTATGCTTTTTACTGAAATTAACATTTGGTTATTACAGATGCAGCGAACGTTTCACATCCCCCTCGATCCCAAAGTATTTTGGTCCTTTGCGCAGCCGAATATGTATGTGCCGGTAAGATTTTAGGATTTTATATTTCAAATATGTATCCTTTCTATTTTTTAATTTTCATTATTATTTTAGAAGTTTGTTATTTTTGAAACTTGGGAGATTTTTATTAGAAACTAAATTATAAGTTATTTGCCCAAAGCAGCTGAAGATTGTTATACTGGTTATTGCGATAGTTAGAATAATTTGTTAAAATATTTAATAAAACAAATATGGGCTTTCAGATGCGTCTCGCAGCGTTGACATTTCTGATTGACATGGTTTACCGACACAAATCGCCATCTTTCGTCAGCGAAGTTACGAACAAATTAATAGATTTATGTTTCAGCGATCCTGAGCCGGTTGTACGCTATTACATTGCATCTCAACTGTCACTTAAACCACCACTTTGCATCATTTTGGGGTTCTTCATTTTCTATTAATTATACATAGGTTAACCGCCGTTAACTGCTGTTAACCGCTGCTTTTTGTTGAAAAAATTAAGATTAGAAACTGATTTTGCTTTTTCCATTTTACTTTCATTTTTTTGTCCAGCGCTTACTTTTGATACTTCTTTCATGGTTTTTCATAAGTTCTATCTTTAGTGAACTTTTCTAATATAAATTGTTTGAAGAACGACATTATTACTATTGAGTTTTGAAAATTTTTAGACCAAGCTAACGCGTTTGATTTTCGCATAAATTTAAAGAAGCATTAGTTTTTGAGCTTATTATTATATTCCTCTTCCGCATGAAACATTTATCTCAGAAAACATTAATTTGCAAAATAAATATTTTCGTCATCTCTTCAGTGCCGAAAATGATACAACATGGAAGTCATTGTCACGCGATATAGCTACCAAATTATGGGCTCAGATCAGTGACGCTAAAACGGTCTTTCTTGTTTTCTTATTCTGTATTCAACTTTTTAACTAAAATGAAAGATTATACTGTTTTTTAGACAATAAATTGTTTTTAAAAATAAAAGACCGTTTTTATAATTTATAACGTCTTTTTATAATTTGCTATCCACTCAAATCTTTTCAAAACTTAATTTTTCAATAAATCAGAAGAATTCAACAATCAAGGATTTGTTGAAATAAATTTCTAATATCATAATAGGTGAAATGAATTATGTTTCAGGAACCACGTTTACGTGGTCATTACATTGACCTTTGGTTTACAATATATGGCAATAATGTACCACTGATATTGAAATCAACTGAGCAAGTGGTGGAAGAGAAGCCAACATCACGTAATATTCATATCACAACCATCAAGAATGGTACAGATGATTTATTGAATTCGTGGTCATGGCATAGTACTATCATTGATACAGATGAACCTGATTCGCCGACTGAAAAATTGATAAATGAAATGAACGATGATACACTTCAATAGTGTCATAATAGGATTATATTGTTCTCAGCAAAAAAGGAGTAATTTCACTTATGAATTCAAATTCTTCAATTGAAGTGTTAGAAAATTATGTTTATATAGTTTCAAAAATGGAGTGGAACTTTTACCGCTATTTATTTTTATTGATTCTATGAGAATTTTTGCATGACCTCACACTAATTATATCTTAAATTACAAGAGAAAATTTGAAGGAACGAAAGAATAACTAATTTTAATATTTGTAATCTAAATAGAAAAAGCGTTTATTACACATATTTTCACATATATTTTCTTGAGATAATCAAATTACTCCCTTAAATTGCAATTAGCTCTTTCCGTGTTGTTCATTTTAATTTTCGCTTTTATTTAATTGTTTATTTTCCTATTTTTATTTATTGTTAATTTTTATTGTTAAAATATTTAAATACCGAGTGGTTCTTTATGATGGTAGAAATCCCTTGACAAATTTTAATCAATTTCCAGCGAAATCGCTCGTTTGTTACTCTTACTGTAAAGAAAGGATGCGCAAATGTTCATTTGAAAAATTTAAATCATTAAAACAAAGTGATCTAGTGATATTCTATTAATTATTGGCTATCTTTCATCATGTAATTATATCAAATAATACCACTGAGATACATTTCTCGCAATTCCAATTTTGTTTTTAATTTATTATTGCATTTAAAGTTTTTGTTTATTTAGATTTTGTTGTTTGTTTGCTCATTTAGGTTCATTCATTTTTACTTATCATTTCATCTACTACTACAATTAACACATCATGAAATCATTACTTCTTTATATCTATCAAACTTTTCTATTGGATTTTTTCCAGAAGATGAACAAATTAAAATTACTTTTAAAAAAAACAATCCAGTTTTGGGATTAAGATTGGCGGCAACCGAAAGTTTCATTCATTTCCTCCTAAAAAAGATGAAAATTTTTCGGACATAAAAAACAATAGCTATGTTTTGTTTTCATAGTATATTTGTATATGTTTTTTTTTTTTTTTTTTTTTTTTTTATAGTACGCTTAAGTTATTACTTGTTGTATTCATTCGTTTATTTTATTTTAGGTTGGATTATATAAAATGAAATACTCTGAAATTGAGCAGCACCAAACAATTCTTTTAATTGTATCCCCGGAATAGCCTTATGCATCCTATGCGAGCAGATTTTAATTGAAATCCCTAACAATTCCATCGAAACTTATTTTTTACTAACAGCAATAATTCGCATTTGTTCAGATCTTACATTGTTTTCTTCAGTTATTCCTTTTAGCTACTACTATCATCGAAATTCAAGTTGAACCTTTCTTTTTTTACTTCAACAAAAAAGTTTTTATTTTTTTTTAAATCGAATGAAGTTCTGTTATAACTGCAACTCATTTGATATAAATTTGTGCCTAATCAATCGGTATTTTTTGATTCTGCATGAAGTTTCATTAATAAATATAATTTCTACAGTTAATAAATACTTTCCTGAAGATAAGTTAGGTGAAGCTGTAATAGATTTAATAAACTTATCGAATAAAATCCTTTAACATTATAATGAATAATTCTTATTATTTAGCATTAATTTACGAATCTCGTTTTATTTTTTGTTTTTTTTTTTTTTTTTGCGTAAATGAAATGTGATTTACAATAGCTCACTTTTGCAACTTTTAATTCGAGCTTAGTGCTAAGCACCTATTTATGCATTTGTTGATTTCCCATGTCAACAATTTACATCACTGTTCTGAATCATTCAATTTGCGCCATTGTTAGCAGCAGCAATGATTCTGAATCATTTCATTTGTATCATTGCTCACATTCTAATTATTCATTGATAACACCACTGATAATAGTAATGATGTTTGCTTTTTTTCCCTTGCAAAAAAGAGAAACAAATCAGTAGAAATGACCCATGTGAATATACACATTATGCGTAAATATAATCTATTTGTAGAATAAGGGAAGAACTCATACATGTAGGATTTGAAAATGATTGAAATAAATTTAAATCTTTTATTTAAAACAAAATTTTTAGTCGATAGATCTTTTTGTCATAATTTTCAATTTTCATTTCGTCCTTGCTGTTAGTTGCAATGATATAGTAAAATGAGAATTTTTTAAAATTTTTTATTAATTGCAATAGCAATTAATAAACTTCGTGTCTTAACTTCATGGTCGTTACTGCAGATTACAGTCATAATGCTTACCTGATAGTGTAATCATTTCTATTGATAATAGGATGAAACATGTGCGAGTTTTCTTCATAATTATTAATTTAGTGAAAATAAATTTCAGCCATTCTCAATTGATAAAGGATTTATTTAGTCGGTAGTGTTTTTTGAATGATGACTTATGTTGATCTATTATTAGACGAAAGAGGTTAATTCAGGTTTCAGCTGGTATGATATATTTGTTTGTAAATTATTTCACAAAAAAAAGCATCACGAAATAATCTTGTTCATAATTAATAATTTTTATGCTATCACTATTTTATTATTATCCCTTATCTAAACCCTTTGAATAGTGGTTTGATCGACGAAAATAAGAGAATTTCCTTTATGCAATTATTTCATTATTTTTCCTCATAATTATTAATTTAATCATTATTTTCGATGAAATGAGTACATGACCTAGCCTCTTAAAAGTGACAATAATAATAATATGATGATGATGATTGGATGTTAGTAACAGCATTCAGTATTGATATCTCAGTGATGTTTTCATTTATCACTACTTATCATCTTAATTCAGCTTCAGTTAATTTGTGAATTACCATATGTGTATGTGGTTTTTTTTCTTCTTGAAGTTAGCATATTGTATAAGCTATTGCATCATATCGATTAATTAACAATTAACTGTCAATCATCGTAAAGAGTTCTAAACAATACAAAGCGAATTTTTAGAAAATATGAATTTCTTATCAAAAAAACAAAAAATAGAAAAAAGAAAAAATCTGATTTTTTATCTATTTGATTGTAGCATTTCCATAAGATTAAAATGATACTACAATCAATGATGCTATATAGAATATTGAATAATTAAATTGATTCGTTAATATCGTATGAAATAGCATTGATAATTGTTTTGTGGACGAAACTATCACTGATAATCTGGCGCCATCATTTATAACTTTTATTCAATTTCAGGGTTTCATCCTTCTTTCTGTTTTTAATTTCATTCATTGAGCTTTTATATCATCATCATTTGATAATTTTGAAACATTAACATTAACTGCTGACAATTGGCGCCGCATTTATCACCATCGATAGCACTACCAGCATCATCACCATCACTATTATCACAACCATACCGCCTATAGACAACCAGATGGATGGATGATAAAGGAGTAGACGATGGATACATACCAGTTGCTTTTGCATCCCTAAGAATGAGAAAGTAGTTGGTCAGTCCAAGATCTCGAACAACATTTAGTTTCTTATAATCCTATCTGTCTAGTCTCGAATTCAAATATCAGTTAGTTTCTTATTGCTCTGTTAGTTTAATTTCGAGTTCGAACATCTCTTAGTTTCCTAACAGTCTATTGGAATGCCAAATTCGATTAATTAGTTTCTTGCCATACCATTCTTATACTATCACTAATTTTTTTTTTCTACTTTCCACAAAAAGGTTTATTTTTAGTTTTCTTTAAAAACTTTTTCTTTCCATACAGATGTATGTCTACATAATAAAAGATTGTCGGGCAGTTAATTTTTCTTATGTAATCTAAAAATATTTCTGAGTAGGTCAACTTTAAATTTACTAATGTTTACATTGTTACATCTTTTATTTCATTTTACAATTAATCAAACATCATCTTGTCATTTTATTCATTTTATTGCGTCTATATTTTCCACTTTACGACAGCCTGGATAATTCGGGTAAGAGGTAAATTATTTGTTTACTTAATATTTAAATCGATTGTGACTTGACCTGTTTCTCAATATTTTGATAATTATCTGGACAATATTATATTTATTTTATACTGTCATGTAATGATAAATTTTTAATTGTAAAATTAATGAATTTGTTGCTTCGCAGTCGCAGAAAACAGAATGTAAATTGTGTTTATTTCATTTTATTTCTCTATTTGTAGTTGAAATATTAATCCTTAAAGAATGGTAAACATTAACTGATATGAAAATATTTTACTAATATGTTGATTTTACTTCTCACTGAAGACAAATTGTTAGATTACTAAGTTTTAATTAGCAACTATTTCTTTCTTTAATTAAACCAAATAATACTACTGTGCACTTTTGCCAGAAGATAATGAATAAAAGTGGTGTTGATTAAGTTATCTCGAATAGATATCAATCAACATTTGCTATGTTGTGATATAAATATCAACAGGATTCATTATCATTATTCTCTTACATTATATGTTCATTTCCTTCCTTCTGACTGCTATCATCATCATTGCCTTCCTTTGTATTATCATTATCATCCCGTCTGAAAGGTCACAAAATGTGTTAGGTTAAACATTTCATTATTTCTTTCTTTCAGCCCTTCTCTCTTCACAAATTACAATTTGCTAGAAGTTGCAAGCATTACTTACTTATCAATGAAATCCATAGTACGAAACATTTTTCATAAATCATTTAAAAATATTTGATATGACCCTGAGGTTCGTGTTAACTTTTCAATCTATCTACGACAGCATTAAAGTAATAACAATTGATAATCGTATGTTAATTTAAATTACCGCAAATTTTCATCAACATAAGAAACATATACTTGCTAAATTGAATTTAACCAAACAGAATAAAACAGATCCATTAATCTAATACTATAAATCTAGAATTAAGCTTTAAATAAATTTTAAATTGTTTAGAAACAAGAATCCATTCATCAAATTTTGCTTGATTTTTCAATAATCAAGAATTTTTTTTCCAAACATCATTATATCTTGCAAGAAATTAATTTGAGCTAGTTAAAATATATTAATTAAAATATTTCATGTAAATGCTTCAAATTTTAAATAGATTTTAAATTGTTTAGAAAAATAACAACTCATTGATTAAATTTTGTTTGATCTTTTCATTAATTATGAGTGTAATAGAAAACTTTCATCCTAGCATCACCAACATCATAATCACTACTTATAACCATCAAATCATTACCATAACCATCATTATCGCCATCGTCACCATCATTGTTATCATCATAATGATCATCATCATCACCAAACATCATCATCATCATCATCATCATCATCATTATCATCTCCATCACTGATTCGAGTTTTCAATGATGGCATTCATTTGAAATAATGCGGTCATTGCTCCCCTCAACATAACTTAGACAACAATAATAAACACTCATTTCTGATTGATAACGGCAATTACAATTCTTCAAATCTTTTTTTATAATTCAATCCTTTCCGTTCATTTTTGTCATCTCTTTTCCAAACAATTACGCTTCCATTTTAGACTCTTTTTGATTGTCCCAATTTTCTTTCAGATGGCATTTTCTTCACTTATTCCTTTTTTGCTGTTGTTTTATTGTGCATCAAAGTAGGTTTTCCTTTTTTCTTTCTTACCACTTATGAAAAGCATTCATTTCTTAGCTTAGTTGTGATCAAGCTATAATGATTATCAGATAAGTCAAAGGTGAAGGTAGCAGAAAAAAAAGCGAATATACTAATTAGATGTTGATATTGGCTGTGATTATCTACCGATATCAGTTGTGATATTAGACACTGATATTATCTATGATAATAAGTTACTGATGATATTAGTCGATCAAGGTAAACGAGAAGTTGTTATCAGTCGTTGCAGCAAAAATATAAAATGAATATGATAGGTGGAAAATATTATTTTCCAGTTTCATTATGATGCACTTAGTATTACTAATGAGTTCATCTCTTTTAGCAAGAATTTATTATAGTAAATAGTAGTAAGATCTTATCTTATTTATAACTCTAACTCTATGAATTTCATTTTTGGCTCGAATCTTACGTTAAGTTTCATTTACTCGTAAATTATTTGTTAAATTTAAGCTGTCATTTCTATACACATTTAAGATAAAATTAGTAATATTTACAAATAATAGCGTTATTTATCACTAATTAGTCGTTCATCATGTTTTTACTCTAATTACTAAAATAAATCACCATTGTTAAGTAATGTTTAAAATATGAATTTTGTTTAAATCATTATAGGTGATCAAAATTGAAACAGATAACAAGCATATTACACATGAATAGATGTTTTAAAGGAAGAAATATCATTGCTGACATTACTCTCTTGGCTTTTAATATTATTCCTTTTTGATTTAAGTATTAGTGAGTGTGATTTGGCTTTCATTACTTGGTTTATAAGATTGAAGCATAAAGCAGCCAATATCTTCTATTCATCACTTTATTATCATTGATAATACTATTATCATTTTAAGAAGAGTTAATATCTCAGACATATTTTCAGTGAAAAAGAATAAAAGAAAAAGTGTAAAATTAAACTATGAATTTGAAACTGTAATAATAATAATAATAATACTAAGTTGTTACAGTAGTTACTATCGTAATAATTGCAAAAATAGGTGTAAAATTATTCAGCGAACTTGTCCAACATTAACTATTTGTAGCAGCGCAATTGTCAATTAATGGAAAATTATGGAGGTCCATTCATTTTTGCTCTTCATTCCTTTTTACAACATCAATTCTCTCCTCTTCCTCTCTCTCCCTCTCTCCTTCCCTCTTTCTCAGTTGGCTTTTTTTTAATTGACAAACATCCGATACGTACTAGTCAATTCTTCCTCCCTTTTCATTCTTTCATAATTCTGATATTGCGACTAGCATATATCTTATTTCTTCTTTTTTGTTTTTAACTTATTAATGTTTGCATTCTTTCACAAATGATATAATTACAATTACAATTTGCGCCACATTCATCCATCATATTTTTTATCTTCTTCGTTTCTAAATTAAATAACCGTATATGATAAAAGAAATTGACAAAATATTTTCTCAAATAAGCGTTTCATTTGAGATATTTGTAAACGAGAAATTACTAAAAAAAAAAATTATTTTGTTTCATAAACAAAATTTTACATATAAACAATGCTATGTAGAACGCATATGATACTGATAATTTGTTTAATTTCAAGTTATTTTCTTTTTATAATGAATAAACGACATTTTTTTTTTTTTTTTAAAAAGTTTTTATGATTATTGTATTTCATTTTATGTAAAATTTTCCTACTTCTAAAATATCAATATTTCAAATGAGCTTATTATTTCAATATTTAATTTATAACAATTTGAAATGTATATTTTACATATACTTGCTTATTCAATTCATCCTGCTTACAATGTTTATTACAATAGAAAAAACATATTACATCGATGCATCGATGACGCGTGACAATTTCGCTCCTTTCTGAATCATCAATACGTTATTTGAAGGATTAAGTTTTTCTTTCTGTCCATTTCTATTTTATTCACTTAAAAGAATGAATTTAGTGAAGTATGAAATATTTTATCTCTTCCTTTTGTGTTATCACGTAAAGGATAAACTCAGGGAAGAGTGCATAACAGTTACTTCCATCTTTTTAAATTATCATTTCTTTTAATATCAAATTGATTAATGAGTTATGAATTAAGACTAAATTAATTAAATCAAACTAGTTGGAGCTCTTTACATACAATAGATATCCATCGTAGAGAGAGAGAGAGCGAGGAAGAGAAAGGAAAAGAAGAGAACACTGTTACTTTCTATCAATTTTTGTTTTATCACACAAAAACAAAAAAAAAGTTATGAATGCTTCAAAATAAAAGAAAAGGCAAAATTGTTTGTTTCTCATTAAAATGAAAACAAAAAAAGAGAAAAAACTAAAGGGAAAATTGACAAAGTTATAAAAATAAATCTTTTCGAAAAAAACTAAAGCTTTTCTCTCTTGATCATCTCTCATTTCATATTGTTTTTATTTAATCTAACATTTCAATGAAAAGCTCTTTCTTTATTCTTAGATACAAAATATTGAAAGTGAATTTACTTTTTTTTCTTCTCTCATTAGAATTCTTTGTTTCTCATTATTACTTGATAGATTAACACCTATTTTAAAACTTTTTTTTTTAAGTTTTTTAAGGAATTCTACATCTTATCATCTTATCCTTGCTTACTTTTTCTATTCAACAATTTTGATAATTTTTTTTTTACTTTTACAATTTTCTACACTTTATTTATTTTGCAATTTATTCTAATTTAATTTAAAAATTTTAATTTTACAGTTTATTTAAAAAAATAGATTTCACATTGTGATCAATTTTTCATTTGAGATTTCTAAATAATTGTTTATATGAAAAATAAAACAAATTTTTTTGTGAATATTACACTAAAATTAAAAAATGAATTAAATTTCAATAATTCACATTATGAATATCTACAATAATTTAAAATTATAACTGATGAGCAAGCTAATGTATCATTACTAGGCTGCGTTAAATTTAGACAGCCTCTGACATATTTGTCTCGTTACTCATCACTATCTATTCACTTTGTCTTTTTCTTACTTTTTGATTTTCAACATATTTCTAAACTCTTTCTCTTCGTTTATTTTCATCTCTACAGCTTTATTTGATGTAATCTTTCCGTATTATTTTCTTTTCTTTCTCGTTCCTCTGTTTTTCTCTCACTCTCCGTTCTCTCAAAATTCATTATTAAAAGTGTCAATTTGCGCAATGTAACGATGTTAAAAAATTGTGGATTTTCGTGAGAGAAATTAGGGGACAATATTTTTTGTTCTAACAATTTTGTATAAATTATTATTTCTGCGAAGTGTGTTTGTGTGTGTGTGTTTTTTTCAAATAAACTAACGTGGAAACGAATTCGCAAATAGCTTTCTCTTTCATTTTTAACAAATTTCATTCATTTTTTAGTATTAACAAAAATTTAGTAAAAATTATGACATACTTTTTTGTAACATAGTTATACTTTTTTTCTTATTAAAAAAAAAAACAGTTTCTGCTTAATTTGCATTGATAAAATGTTATTCATTGAACACTCATCTTATACATTTATCCTTTTCTTTATTCCTGCCTACTGGTTATATTATGTTTTCGGAATTGTAATACAACGTTGAAGGTCATTAATTCGTTTGACATTTCGCTTGTATCATACATAAAAGAAAGTTTTTATTGAATTTCAATATTTTTCTCTCGATATATACCTTATTCAGATTACTTTTACATCATATAAATTTGTGTTAGATATAAATGGAATTAACATGAAACCAAGTATTAGTAAAATAAGATATGAGTTAATATGATACAATCATTTTAATCTTTTTTATAATACACTAGAAATTGGAATTGAAGATTGAAATCGCATTCGATTTTCAGTATAATAGTAGTAGAGATTATTCAAGACTTGTTAAATTAAAACATGTTTTTACTTGCAAACTAAAAGTTTTGATAGATAATTTGATTGCTGCCTTTCCATTCGGCAAATCTGTTTTTTTTTTTTTTTTTGTAAATTTATTTTATGAAATATTGTCATTTAATAATAGTGTATGTCGACCCGAAATGTGAACTTATTGATTTCTTCCGATTGCTTATGTTTTCACTTTTTTCGTTTGTTTTATGTTCTATTTTTTTCCTTTTATACTTTATTATAATTTTATTCCATTTAGACACTAACATTATCTTATCACTTGTGGGGTTGACTGATTGATTAGAAAGAAGAAAAGCGTACAAAGAAGAAGGCATATATCAGTTTTTATCGAGCATAAGTTTTTTCTTTTAAATTTTTTTATATGATTTGAATTTTTTTCTTCCAGGTAATATTGAAAAGGAAACATCTTTATCTTCTTCTTTGCTGGTGGCCGAGTTAAAGTTGGTGCTTATAAATACCATAATCACGGCAGAGAGTAACTGGATGAAATTGGAAAATTTGTTATCGTGAATTTCATTTATCTTAGGTAGTAATGAAAAGAGTCTTTATAAATGCCATAATTATTGCATTTTTAGTTCGTTAAAAATATTTGTTTGTTTTACCTCCATAAAATTTGATCACTATTTTTCTCATATTTTCATTTTTCTTCAGGAAATCATATCTTATTAAAGTAATTTTAGGAAATTTCACATCCTATTTAAAATGCCTTATGAAACATAATTATTGAATCTAAATTAAATTTAAATTATAAAAGAACAAAAGAATAAAAATTCTATCATACGATATCTTGTTGCATCGGGTTACGTTCGTTCAGTGAATCCCGCTTTATTTCTCTTACGA